GCCGAGCGAAGTATATGTCGGCATGTGGTAAGGTCTTTGAGTCACATTGGGATTTAACCTTCGCTTGTAAGGCTGTCCCAGCTTGATTAGATATAAACTCTGGTCTGTTCAGTAAGTGTCCTAATAACCAAGAGGCGGAGAGACGTCTGGAGATTACTATATATATACTTGGTGTAACAGCCGTTCTTTGTGACCTGGACGACACCGATAACAGTTCAATAACGCGGTCTTTCAAGCCCCAAGTTTGTATCCTCAATCCAGAAAATCACACAACTCGAAGTATACAGTTGACACGGTTATCTTAATACAAACGTAAAAACAAATCAGCACAAAATACTTGCAATAAATAAATAATCATACACAATTGGGCCTTCAGAAAGCCTACTCAAATTTATGAACACATTTATAAAACATAGTTAATTAGCAAGTCGAACCAAAATACTATTAAATAACTTTCAGCCTTCAAATCAGAAAGAGTTACAAATTATAACATACCGAATTTGTCTGCTATTCCAGGCTTAAATTATCATAAGTTGAACATGAAATCATTCGTCAATGGAATCCAATCAAATCAATTAAATAAACTATAACTGTAAAAACAATCACGAAGGCAAACTAATGCTCATAGAAATATCATTAAACTAAGCTTATGTGGAACAGCCTTAATCTACATTATTTATTCGTCCATATGTCAAAACAGAAAGTCAAGGTCGCTAAACCAATTTCAACTTATTTACAAATTACAACGAAACGAGCGCCATTCTCTACAAAAGTCTGAGAGTTTGGAGATATTTTATGTCATATTAGTGTAGAAACTATTCTGATGAATGTCCTGTTATTAGCGAAAATACAGTATATAAAGAGAAGTAAACAAAGTCAACATGCAAGTACGCAGTATTTGAATGCATTGCAGGGCAGTTTTTGAATTACGAACTACGTGTTGTATAGTTCACCTTCAGACGAAACGGGTATCCTCGAGTTCGAAGTCCATGGTAACTCATGGAAAAACTTATCACAGACAAATTGCTCAAATACTGCAGCTAACTCAACCCGGTTTACTAATTGCTTTTGCGACTAAACTCGTCTCCCCATCGTCACTTGGCCGCGGAACCTCAAAACAGAAAGGGACCGACTTCAGCAATTCAGATACGCTTCAAAGAAAATATAATGATATTGGACACGGAATGAACCTATGAGTCCTTCTCTTAAGATCTTGTTGTTGTTGTTAGCTTTCCTGGTATTATTTTTCTTATAGACAATATTGTCGTTATTAAAAAATTCAAATGTAAACTGTTCATTTTTGATAAATATGAGTGATCTAGGTAAAGTATTAATCGAAACACAATTCTTTCTATCTTCCATATATTTCCCTTTGAAGGCACACGACTTTTTGAGCCTAAGTAATTTTGTGTATCAGGAGGACAATATTAATATTCACCAAACAAACAAAAAAGAGAAAACGTAAACAAAATATTCAATTCAAATATTCAAAAAAATTAACAACAAATGTAATGGTTATATTCAATTTAATTTTTCTTTTTTAAGGCTTGTGCAATGAAGAAGGTAAGTTTTTAATTTTTCAATATTTTGATTTTATCAATATTAAACCAATAATACTTTTGTGCTAATTTTAACTGCAGTTACCGAGAATGTATTTTTGCTAATCTGTATTTGATAAATATCAATATAAAGTTATAAACTTATTTTAAAAAGGGTATATGTTGGTTTGACTCCAACTTTCTCTCTGAAAATCATTGATGTGTTTTATTCCAATCTTATACAGTTTATTGTCTTGAAAATATTGCCCTCATTAAGTGCTTCGAGTATAAGTTTAAACAACTGGTTTCCAATGAGCTAACGTCTTATCAACTGCAAAAAATTGCAAATAAAAATAGTTATTTGCTAATTTTTCTCTACAAAATCTAGCAAGTTTCTACTTATACACACTTATACTTCTACTCTTATACACACTTCAATGATTATATTGGAATACGCCTCATCCAGTATTATGTCTGTTATTTCACAAATGAAACGATGTTCAACTCATTCTCAGATATATAAACAGTTTGTCCATTCCGTCTCGTACTTTAATGAAAACGTTAAGCCCAAAATTTCAAGTTATTTTTGAATATATTACGTTGTTGCTTTTTGAATCAATTATGTGCCTTTAATTGTAAGAGTAAAGAAGATGGAAAAGCACCGAAATATACGAGTTAACAGAATAATTTATCGTAAATTGTCACAGGTGGCGAAAGACAGGAACCGACCTTTAAATTTCAAGCAGTAACATAGGAAGGCGAGCATTATCTGTTATAATATAGACTTGCAATACGCTACACCAGTGATTCCTAACCGCCGGCCCGTGAAGCTTTTTTGCCGGTCCGCGAGAAATTTCGTTGTTTTGATGCCGTCTCGATCTCTTTGCCGAGGACGAGGCTACGTTTGTTTATTACACAATCCCGCAGTCATATTGCGTCGTCTTTCACGACATCTTGGCGCCGAGCAATCACACTTTTCGCTCTTTCGGCTCCAATTCATCGCGAATGCGCTCAATCAAATCTCACAAGATTCAGAAACCTAAAAATCAGCACGCGTGCTTTTTCTATTCTTCTATTCTTTCTATTTTCGTTTCAATGTTTGCCGGTCCGCGAGTACATTTAATTTAATTTTACCGGTCCGCCAGGGAAGAAAGGTTGGGAACCACTGTGCTACACGACAAAACGTATAGGGTCGTTCTGGTCATCTGGTTCTCAGTAACACTAAAAAATTTAAAACTATTAAATTAATCTTGCTCGAGCACGTTTAAATTACGAAATACATGCATAATAAATTCTTTCAGTAAGATCAATTGGAACTATAAAGAGTTTGCTACGCTGTATATATATCAACTTTGCAGTATTGAGCAAGGTTCTTTACTTCAAGAATGTCATAAAGCAGGGATGGTGAACCAATGTCTCATCATATTTTTGGCCGGTTTTGGTTTTTTCCTTAATTCATTCTGACAGTAAGTGGGCTACTAGAATACACCCGTATATAAATTTTGAAATTAGGCTGTAGCAATTTTATGTCATATACCCATGCAATTTTATCTGTTCATTTCTGATAAATTGTTTTGTTATGGCGGCTTTTTTCGGAATTACATGTACCGAAGCAGAATGTTTTGGGGGCATGGGAGAACAAGATGCTACTTATTTTTGACATCTTTCACTACATCATTCTTTTTTTCGCATATAATACCAATTGGAAAATATCATTTTATAGACTCAAATTAACAATTTTTGAATTCTAATATACAAATGAATCAAAGTGGTAATGACTTTAATGTGATTGAAAAACATAACTCTCTCTGAGGTTTGAATCCATGAAAATACTTGCCGCTGCATTATAACGGTTTTTGGTAACTCTTGTGCATACATACCATGCAGTGCTTTCACACATGAATTTTGTAGAATTGCCTCAGTCCTGATGTAATCGTTAAACCTGTTAAGCTCAAATATACACCATACCAACAAAGAATTATAGTACTCGTGGAAAAGATGCAACACCCCGCTTCTCATTAATGCTGATGATTAAATATATGTGAACCTACAGTATTTTTTGTTTTTATTTTTTTGTTTTTCCAAGTTTTGACTTATTTATTGAAAACGATTCGCTATCTCTGCCAAAAACTAAAACACGTGGCTTATACTTTCAAGTTAAACAGTTTGCCTCTTTATGAGTTCATCTCTGAAAATAATTGGTAGCGGAAATAATTTATTAATAATATTTTGCTAATTAAACCATATTTCAATCGCATCCCACTCGGTCGTCAATTCATTTATCGATAGTGCATCAAAACAATCGAATTGCAAATTTAATCCGGATAAATCAAATGCAACTAACTTGTAAAATGATTTTGAATGTTACCATACGATTGATTACTGCTTTAACAGACCCATTGAGACTTTATGTTTAATATTATTCATGTAGAAGTTTCTATAATTTATTATTATTGAAAAGCTCAAATTGAACATTAGAGATCGGAAAAAAGATTTGAAATCTTATGTATTATTAAACGCATTGAAAATAGATGCGCCATAGCAACTAGCTTGCTGTAAGATATTTTTATTGACTAAAACTTCCAAGTTAAATGTAATTATATGGAGTGTAGCAACATTTCTGATCTCACCAGAATGATTTTCTATTCATTTTCTCTTAAAAAATTCCCAATTCAGCTTCGCAAGAGAACGTGAATCTGAAAACAGTTTTCGCAGAAACTCGATTTTATTTAGTTTTTTTACTCATTTATATCAAATTGGGGAAATTACTGACTAATTAAGCATATTGAATGCAGAAATGTTAGGTAAGATATCCAAATATTAAATGTAGTGGGACCTAGGGCTGAGGCTTCAATATACTGCGTCATCTATTAAAATATGACTTCAAAACACTCAATGAGGGTATAGTTCGTGTAAACACAGGTCGTCATTACTCTAGATCACGAACAAAAGATTTATTAGGAAGGTTTCACTGAGTAAATAACGTTTGTCAATCCCACGAAAGGCATTCCCGTGACATCGCATTTATATTTTGGCTTTTGTCGAAATTAGATCATTTTTGTCGAGAAACAATCCATATATATAAGTCAAAAAATAGACGTAGATTGGTAAGGTTGGGTAGGAAGAAAAGCGCTTCAGAAGTGTGTGTACCAATATGGAGGTAACTAATTGTGTTTGTCTACTTTGCATCAAGTTGTGTGAAGGGACTGAAACCTATGGGTAAGGGGGAATATTCACTTGGCTAACACAGACAGTCCCCGAACTGAAATAGTTTATTTAAAAGATACAAGCAATGAAGAAGTTCACTATTACAGTTATGGCGTAGAAACTACAACACTCTTCACTTGAGTAGTCACTCATAGCTTAGTGAATATGTTTTAGGAAAGGGCCTGTCAGAGTGAACTATTCGTTTTCGAGTATGGAAATGTGTGTCTAATTCTATATATTACAGATATAGTATACAGATAAATATGAAACGGATTATAGCAACATTTTTTCTAATTCTTGTTTATGGAGCAAGCGCCATCGAAGGTAAGATACCGATTTACGATAAGTAAATAAAATGAATATTTGAAACGTTCAAGTTTTGTCAAGTTCAACCTGCTCATACATGGGAATTGCAAGACCTTTGCTGATATTGTTCTAATATTATTGAAAAAAAAAAAAAATTTGGGTGCTCCCTAAGTATGCGAACCAAGATGGCGGACATCGGAACGTAACATGGGTAACAGGTTAGGGTTATGTGATAATTTTTTTCCAATTTTTCTTATTTCAGTCCTATTATCAGTTCGAAGACTAGCCAAGAGCCGTAGTATTTATACCTAAAATTATGGCCTAACCCTAACCTAGTACACATATTATATTCCGATGTCCGCCATCTTGGTTCGCATACTTCGGGAGCCCCAAAATTTGATAGAAACATAGAAATTGAATTGGAAAAGTTCATCATTTAATAAAGATAAAGCTGAGAACTGTCTGTAGATTTGATGTGATTTATCCATCTTAATGAACGTTGATTATTGAAGGACAAAAACGCCATCACTGTGATATTTATATATACTGTGCTATTTTTGTATTGGCACGTGTTAATTAATTTGTTTGTGTTATTTGATATGGACCACGATGGTCTGTCTGGTGTAATAAACGAATTGAATTGTCGCCCTTAAAAGTAGTTAGGGTCCTAGTCCCTAGGGTCCTATGTTATGTTTCAGATAAAACCGAGATCACGTCTTATTTTACTTTTGTATATAATTACATAGAACCAGTAGTAGGATTCAGACGGTTCGCACCGGTTCTATAGAACCGTCTCACGGAATTTTATGAGATCAGCGAACCGGTTAGCATTACATGACTTTTTGTAACAGAACCGCCTGAAAAATATGACATTTGTGCGATGGAACCGGCTGACAAAAAATGTGAATCCCGCCACTGCATAGATTCTATGCGAAACAAGCTGTAAATAGACCGATGGCCGTAGTTGTATCTCCAGTCAGAGATGCAGAGAGGTTGTTCAACTTTTCATATATTCTTCATTATTAACATTCAATATTATTTGATTGCAGAGGGAAGCATACGGATAATATTTGGTTCTTCTGGCATATTCCAAATTTATCACGATAAAAAATGGGGAGGAATATGCGCTGATAACATTTCAAAAGACGACAAGTCTCTCGCCAACGTCGCCTGTCGTATGGCCGGTTACAAACGAGCACGGAGTCACATGTTTTTCTCTCATATGGACCTCATGCCGATGGTGTTGCAAAATGTTTCATGTAACGGTAATGAGAGGAATATTGACCAGTGTCAACGCGTCATATTCGGAGAGTACAGTTGTAATAGAGCGTATGGTGCTAACTGCCATGGAAAATCTTCAGGTAAGATAGACGGTTTAATTATATTTTCCAGCAACATAATTTTCTCATTTCTGTTACGCAGAACATGTCTGTGGGGGAAGAGTGTGTGATGATGAAGATAAATTCTGCTGCAACGATGGGTTTTCGAACTTTTATTGTTGCGATGAAATTGAGCCGACAACAACCTCGAAATCAGATTTAACGCCATATAGCACATCAACCATCAGTTGGAGTCACGGAACTAATTTTAGGTCAACTAATATATATGATCAATTCTATCTAAAAACCGCTGATCTAGAAGATAATACAAGACATTTCTCACAGTACCAATAATCAATTTTATTTAAGTATATTTTGCAATCTGGTAATGTAGAACTACATCAGAAATGTATATTTATATTAGAAGCAAACTAAATCCTAGCCGAATTTGTATCTCAGAACTGATACCAGCAATAGCTTAGCTCGTGGGAATTGGACTCAAACAGCTAATGAATAATAATACCCAATTTACAGGCTAAGTATTTGGTGGACAGTTTGCATTGCTTTAGCAATTTTCGTGGCTATCGCATTTGTTGTCTGTCGACTAAGAAGAAGATCACGTAGATTGCATCAAAATACTCAAAGCAGAACTACAGAAAGGGTGAGATTAGTGATTAGTAATTTTGCTTTCATCTTGTTCTGATAAGACACGTTTTCTTGACCTTGTTTTATCAAAATATATGAACTTGAAAGTTTGATTGGCATTAAATGCAATTTTAATTTAGTTTGAATCATTTCTCAAGAATTTCGCGATGATGGACGCACCGCCGTGGTGCATCTTCTTGGATATTGATAAGTTTCAAACTTATAATACTGTTTGTAAGCGATGGGCGTCATCATGCTTAAAAAAACGGGGTAAAATCTTACAATGCTTAGGATACTCCATATGTCTCTATTCAAACAAAATCGAAAAAACGTCAATGATAACAGCTAATATATATACTCACTCATTTCTCCACTATTTTTCTTTGCTAACCTCTAATGAATTTGATTTTGAGCAGCATAATACATCATCAAGATCAACTAGTTCTACTCAATATGAAGGTCGCGTGAACAGAGCTTTAGGTAGGTATTTCTTTGTTCGTTCTGTTATGGAAATTATATATAGATTATATATATTGAAAAGCTATCAATATCGCAATGTAATATTTATCAATATATATGCATAAAGCTTGATGCTAAAAAAAGGATTTAAAATTCGTCATCTATTTATTTACTTTTCCACGTATTTATGCAAGTCGAGTTCCTTACATGTCAAGCAGTTAATTAAGGATACCCGGATGCAATTGGGAATTTTAGTATTTTGAACGGCTCTGCATACGAATCAATTGGGAACGTTCGATGTTTTTTTTTTCGGATTTGAAATTTAATAAAGCATTGAAGTGTTTTAAACTTTTTAGTTTTCTTGCAGATCTTCCATCAGATACGCCACCTGAATATGCATCGATATCAAAATATGAGTGCAATTTTTCAGTACAGCCACCCCCGTATCCTGTTTCAAAGCCATCTTCTGAACCTCCACCTCCACCATATACCGTTTCGCACACCGAAAATGCTTGATTTAAACTTATGTTATGCTTTTGTATAATCTAAGTGCCTAATGCTGTGCTTTAATGTATAAACTGTAAAATAATATAATCAATTGACTTATCGATATAGTGTTGACTCATAAATATTTTTATATATATATGTGGTAGCCAATATGTTGCACCACGTGGTGTTATTGTTTTTTTTCGTATTTTCAAATACGAGTTTTGCTTTCAAAGACAGAAATTCTGTGGATATCTGCATATATATATGATGAACAGATAAAACAAAATCAATTTGGATACAAAAGAAAAACATTAGACTTCAATGTCGCATTTCAACGTAAAACCGCAAACCGAACATAAAAATGTCTATTTGATAGGTTTTATCAGTTTCGTTAAAACTAAGCAACCAACTTTGAGGTGTGAAATGTGTGTATCAATTATCGTGTAGGTTATGACTCTTGCTATTATAAAATATAAGTAGGCCTACTAATTTATAAATTAATGCACCCTTCAGTTTATCTTGAACATCAAATAAAAAGTTTCCTGTGATTTTCTTATATATATATATGCCTAATAGTGTTGGTGGGCAAACGATGGGCAAAATACTTGTATATATATTTTTAGGAATATTTGCTGAAACAGGGTCATAATATTATACTTCAAAAAGTGCAAAACTCAAACAAAAGTGAAATCAATAGTGGTTGGTTGACCTGATTGATGTGACAAGAGCTGAAAAGAAAATAAGAGCAATTGAAAACTTTAAAATTTGATCGTTGTTATCTTTAGGATCACCTTTCCTCCCCCTTTCTTAGATCCAACTTGCAAATCGTCGGCTGTGAATTACAAGTGTCGTTGTATTTCAATGAAGTCTTTCCCTGCACCTTCGCTTCAAAATAGAATGATGCATTATAGTTACCAATCTCAATTTTTGCAATTTAAGAATGTGAATTATCGTTTTTTATAGTAAAGTTGTGGAAATTGAGGATTCCTACTTATGAATTTCTTTGAACTAAAGTTGCAAATTTGTAACACTGCACTTTATTTTTGTTTGAAACAATTTGACAAACTAAACGGGAAATATTCGCACATTTTCAGCAAATTTACAAATCGAAGGACTTGGACTCGAGATAGACCAATGGATCGTTTTGCTACATTGTTGTTGTGAAAAGATTTCGTATCCCACTATCCGCAACATATTGGCAGTGGCGTGCCTAAAGAGAGGCGCCGCCCCGGGCAGCACGTTGTAGAGGGCAGCAAAACCAAGATGTTGAGTCTGCGTTATTACACATAAGACATATTGTTTTGTTTTATTAATCAAAAGCTGACATTATGTGTTTAGTATTGTGCGACTGACTGTGGTACTAATGAGTCAGCAATGAATGTTTCCCCGACCGTCTCTACCAAGATTTTTTAATTTCAACATTTTTGATGCTCATTTTAAGGGTGGTTTCGCTAGTTTAGGCCTTAAAATGGTTGATATATACGTCTCAAACAATCATTTCAATTCCAAATAGGCAGCCCTGTTATTAAAAAGTACCGATCTATATCACATGCAGCTATTTCTAAACTAACTTTTGATTATTCTATTCAATTCAAGAGTCTTGCTGCACACGAACACAAACATATTTCTGTAACATTTCGTCGAATTTACAAACATCACAAAATAGACTTCAACAATTCGAAGAAAATTACACTGAAAGAAACCAGGCTACAACACCACAAGCGGAATCTAAGGCACTTCGTAGCAACAGGGACATCTCCTAAAGGTCTCCAAATTACCTATCGAAACGTTACAGAAATATATTTGTGTTCGTGTGCAATAGCCATTTACACTCTTGCTACAGCATCCTTGCGTAATGACATATAGAGCAAGGAGAGGTAGTTAAGTTTCACTCAACCTCAACTGTTAGTTAACTTTTGATTACTGTAATTAAATATAAAAAGACAGAATAATTAGGTAATATTTCAATTTGTACTGAAATTTCCGAAACATAAACAAAAACTGACAAATTGCACGGGAAAACGAGGTCATGTTCACAACCATGCCAGAAAATCTGTCTGTTCGGCTGGCAAATCGAATACTGTTACGTCGCTTTTCCGAAGTGGAAACAGAGATTTCTAAGATTTTTTGCTTATTTGATTGAGCTTAGCTGGGAAGTTTTACCAACTTTTTGCATTGCATATTGTTTATTATTTTTAAAGGGGAGCTATAAGGCTGGGGCAGCTTATAAATTACAAAACTTTCCTGAAATCTCCGTCTGTTGTTGGCATTTTTCTACAATGGCGGAGTATGAAATACTTTATCTAATCTCATTACGAATAGGTTTCGATTAAACCATGCTGAATATGCAACCCTTGATGGCAAATTAAGTTGCAACTCATAAACAGCATCACTAATTTGCATTATTATTTTTACAGTTTTCCAAGATGGTCAGAATTTTTAATAAAAGCAAGATGTCATCGATTCATTATTTGTAAATTTGCGGCGGCACAATGTAGCCTACTGAGTTGTTATTCAAAATACAATACAATTTATTTCGGCATTATGGAACACAAAACTCGATGTCTACTGTGTACTTTTGGTATGTGATAAAAAAAAAAAAAAATAAACTACTGACGATGAAATTAATAAAACATATAATAGAAATGCCCGGAACACGAGCGAAACTTGAGAACAAAGTTTATAACGCGCAATGCACGTGCTCGCTTACCAAAAGGAACGCAAATAATATATATATTTAAAAATAATAAAAAAAAATCGATGAGCAGCAGTAAAAGCCTCCTTGGTTGTCCCATGTGAAAAAAAGTGAGTCACTAATTCAAGTTGTAAAAAAATGACAATAAAGACGACAGTGTGTCGGTCACAAACACGTTTCAGCCAAATCAACGTATTTGGGCGATAATCACATGAGATGTGAAAAAAAAGTGCAAAACAATCAAACTCCAGAACACGCATACATACAGCTAGAAAAATTTGAAGGCAGTCCAATTTTTGCACATAAAAACTAACAATCAAAGTTTCTATAGATTTCGGATGAATCGAGGGCATTCTTTACATTAATTAGTATCATATGTTGGTTATATGTTGGTCTTCATTGTTCTGAACATTTGTTTGTATTTTATAGTGATTTCGCGCAGATCCAATAGTTCAGCATTCTTATTTTTGTCCAGGATTGCAGACTCTTTTCGGCTCCAATCGGTTACAGGTACAGTTCTGAAATCAGATTCACTGAAGGAATTATTTTTGTCCGGGTTTCCAAGTTTTAGTCCAAAAAATCCCTTATTTCAGTATTCCATCGCCAAATGCCGGTACCACGTCCGCACCAGACGATGGTCAGATCAGAATCAAAAACATCAGGACAATTCGAAGCCCTCTACACAAACCTGGAAGAATTACGCAATGGCTGAGATATCTAAATTTGAATCAATATAATATTCAGTTGAATACAATTTTGCCGTCAAATACATTCTCTGTTGTAAACATATTAATAAATTTTGGACAAGCACCATTTGGGAATCCTCTATAGTCTATAGCATATCAACAGATATGGGATGAGGAAAGTTATTAATTTTCCACTCTCCCTCTGTCTAGTTTGTTACCACAAACTAACACAGTGTTAACAGAAATGCAACACCAAGTGATGCCAAATCTTACTTTGGGCAGAGAAGATTCTAAACACATTGAATGCATGACTCCAAATCAGTATAACTCTCCAATTTGGCACCAACAACGAAAATTTACGACTCCCTTGCATCAAATCTTACTCCTTCAAAATTCCCAAACTGTAGCGATAAAAAAAGAGGTATCCAAATGGAACCAGAAAAATTATATGAGGAAATAAAAATATGCCAGTGTTCCCCACGTGAGTTAGTAATATCTCAACCTGTCCCTGGTTGGGATGTTCACCAGATCGCAAAGTTTACAACCCATCTTGTGATGGCAAACTATGCTATGGCTTATTAGAATCAAATGCCCGCTGTCTGACACTTTTGACAAGGTTTCTCGTCTTTTCAAAAATGATAAAGGGGAATGGACATTGAAAATGAATCACGATTATTATTTTCTAAAATGAGGTGTTTAGGAATCACAGGACTCAAGTGGTTTAATATCATTATTTCTCTACCTTCAGGTGCATGTTTTATTTATTTTATATATTTTAATGATGCATATTTTCTGGACATACAAATGCGTCTAGAATGCTTTTTTTTATTATCATTTCATAAACACGGTTGCATCAAACATGTCATCTTGAGGACAAAAATTCTTTATTTTGTGTAACTTCTGAAGCTTAATTTTATATGAAGAGAAGAAATTTAAGATGCCTGTTGTAAATGTTTTATTGCCCAATCATTTATGTATTTCATTGCTTTTGAATGTATTTACAGTTGCTTTGGGCTTTCAATTGTGTATTTGCCATAGTGCAATTATTGGAAACAGACGTGACAAGGGGTATAACAGGCTATTCTGAATTTTCCCTCTTCTTTTAACTGTTGACCTGATAATGTTGTAACACCCACACCATTTACTCATACAAACAAATATAAGATTTTTCTTGAAAAGACATAAAATATGTTCTGAATGTATTTGATAAACTAAACTGCTTGAACTTAAAATAATTTGTAACAATGAACAAACTAAAACTCAAAAACAAAACTGAATACCTACTTTTAAAACAAAGGGCCGCTGAATTTAGTTAATAGGCAAGCAACAGTACATATTTGCTTAACTGATTCTAGCATATTCAGTGGTATTCTGCATCCAGATAACTGATATTCTTCAACTCTTCTGATAGCTCTTTCTACTGGTATGTGAAGCAATCTTGCTGGATCGCAATGCCTCATCACATGTAAACCTACTGTTAAAATGAAATGAAGGAATATTATGATCTACAATTTTCGCTTACAGCAGATTCCCGATGGCAAATCCATTGCGAACATTACAGAATCCCCTCTTTCCAGTAAATTCAAAATTCCAGATCTCCGGGTTTTTTCACCGTCTGATATGCCCTGTCTGATTGATTGTTGCAAGCACGGTATGCTGATTGGTCGAGAAGCGGCGGGACATCTACAATTTTTACTTACAGCAGATTCCCGATGGCAAATCCTTTGTCGAACATTACAGAATTCCCTCTTTCCAGCAAATTTAAAATTACAGATCTCCGGGTTGGCGCGGCGGTGTGGCTCAACGGGCTGAGCGTTAGGAATACGCTCGCCACCGCACCTCTAATTACTCTGCGTGGGTTCGCAGGTTCGAATCCCATATAGGGATGGTTATGTGCGAGAGGATTGCTGGACTCCTCGCCGTCGTTGGGTGGTTCACGTAACCGCTGGTCGGTTACGCCTTCCTCCACCACCAAGTTCATGCTTCCGAAAACAAGCAATATAACTAATCCCATACCCGACTTGGAATGGTAACCGGACGAGAGGCGGCGGTTCGCCATATGGATAAGCCGTCTTATCGGCTTTCCTCTTCCCCGGGATAAATATGTAAATCCTATCCTATTTCCGGGGCTCCCGAAGTATGCGAACCAAGATGGCGGACATCGGAATGTAATATGTGTATAGGTTAGGGTTAGGCCATAATTTTAGGTATAAATACTACGGGAGGCTCTTGGCTAGTCTTCGAACTGATAATAGGACTAAAATAAGGAAAATTGGAAAGAAATTATCGCCTAACCCTAACCTGTTACCCATGTTAAGTTCCGATGTCCACCATCTTGGTTCGCATACTTCGGGAGCACCCCTATTTCACTGTCAGATATGCCCTCCATTGATTGTTGCAGGCGCCGTCATGTGGATGATCTACGATATGCTGATTGGTCGAGAAGCGGCGGGACATTTGTTGTTTGAAGCGGGATACAGATACACACCGGTACGCGTAGCTTCTCACCGTTCAATACTGCTGTGCTGCCACTCGGTAGTTAGGTATCGTCATTACGTAGATGATCTAGTTAGGCTATAATTTATTGGGAGGAATTATTGTATAGGAATAAGTAGATAGAAGTTTGCGGTCTCGCGAAGCAAACGCCGTAATTGCTTAAATAACCCTGAACACGAATGTCAGAATGTGGTGTGATAGATCTCTAGATAGATACCGGTACCGGTAACGTAAATCAGTAAATGCTGAAATGACATGGAATGTCTGTACGGTATAAGAGATGGAATTGATAAAGCTTAATTATTGAATCTTTTGTATAAAGTTCCCTCCACTAACAGACTAATGAAAAATGGGACCTCCCGAAGTATGCGCACCAAGATGGCACACAACCTGAACTCAGGTTGTGTTCCAGGTTAGGGTTCAGGTTATGCGACATCTTGGTGCGCATACTTCAGGAGTACCGAAAACTGTGTTGGTTTATTTTGAAAGCTCCACAATCTGACAATACCTGAATAGCCTACTGCAATATAAACAAATTCTGAAATTAAAAATGGAGAATTCTGGAGAGGGAGCAAATCCTTTAAAAAAGATTAAAACAAGATGAGTAGGCCTATCATGTGTGAAAATTAATGATGTAAGTGCTTATATAACTGTATAACGCCATACAAAAATGTGATGTGAAATACGAAATTTCGAAGTGTTTGGCAACGTCATAATGCAGTAATGAAATTTTAGGTTGTTGAATATTTTTACTGTACCATATTCAGTACTGCACACTACGGCACTATCCAAATTCTTAGAATCGTCATTTCTGCATTTGGTTCAATAAAACAAATACTCCATGTGTCTCACAAACGGGGCGTCCTCGTCTCGATAATAATCAAAATTAATCGTGGCCGTCACATGATCAAAATAGCCGTTTTTTGCTAAAAACTCTCGAATGTCACAGTAGAAATTTTTTTTCTATGGTAAATCGGATTATTTTTTCTCAAGGAATTCAATGATGACGGTTTTAGATTGTGCTTTGTAGTTTTTTCCGCAACTTCATTTTGCTGTATTTTTACCGATATTGAGGGATAACAAGGTCCAGCCGTTCCCTAAAGGTTTATCGGCAAAATGGGATTCTCTGAAACGAGACAATGTCCCTCTATCTGTAAAGTGTGCCGTACTGATATTTGGCTATTTTATAGACTAGCATACATCATGCTGTCCTAGGCATCTGTGCATGACATCATTTTTCGTAGTCTAAAGTTCTCATTGCCGTAGATAATTATTCCTACTGTCCTAAAGCAGTAGCAGGCACAGTTTTCCGATTGCGAGATGTCCTGACATTTGGTTCAATAAAACGGTTCGGTTCAAGGACAAACACTCTATTTATCTCTGAAGTGAGGGTGTCTGGTACGACAGCAGATGACTCATAACACGCCATGCTTATATAATAAATTATATCAATCGAGGCGTGAGTTGGCCATATTGTTTTCTGCAACATACAGCCATGAGTATCGAAAAAGAAGAATTAAATGCAATATAATTGGCCCTAATTTGTTGCTTTATTTTTTCAGATTTACCTAAATCTGTAAATATTTCAAATACTGTGAGTAGACAACATCTGATAACTGCTCAGATATGTCCATTGAAACATTCTCTAAGCTACCACTTGTTACACAACTGGACCAAGTGTTAAGAGGATATAGGATCTTGGCAACCAGTGGATGTGAACCTGGTATATTTTTTAATATTGTAACTGTATTATATCATATGTGACTCAAATATTTTTATTTCATAAGAAGTTTGAGGTTTTAATGGCCAGGTCAATAACAAAATTATAAAAGCTCTTTCTTTTTAGAATTTTTACAATTTGCAAGTCAGTTTGAATCTGTTCGAAAAATAGGATATCAAGCTGAACAACTGGCACAAGACCTTCAGGAAAAGCTGACAAAAGTAATATTACATTATATATGAAAATGGTCAAGCTTATTTCAATTGACTACCGTAAATAAAGTTTGACTGGTTAATTAATACTATATGTCTGCATTATTATGGAACTCTATTTTTTAATATCATTATATCTACACAAACTTTCTATAGCTGTTGTCTAGTTTTCAACCTCCATTCCTAATGATAATGCCTTTCACAAAAAAGCATACCTCAGTACCTGGAGTTTGTTCTTGAGTAAGTTGTCTTTAGATCATTCCAATCTGTGAAAATAAAATGGTTTACATCAAAAAGTTTGAAATACTATCTCGTTACTGGTTTTTACTCGTAAATATTATTCTTACTGCTAATATTTGCAAGAATTTTTGAATAAACTTTAGTTTAGACTGTCATATTCATACGTTATGCCCAAACCTGATCCTCAATTATGCCTCATTTGTTAATCAATTTTGAAATCTACAGACTGAAGCTGAGAGAAATGCTTTGATGATAAAACTGAAACATGCAAGAAGACAGATCGAGGTTGAGTTGAAGCAACGACAAAAAGCTGAACAGGACAGAGATGAATTGGTAATAATTCAGAATACAATAGTATTTAGAATAAAATAAATCACATTGAAGAATATCTCCAAAAGCCAGGCACAATATCTTTTAATTAAAATAGTAAAAATCGAATCATGTTGGTTGAAATAATATGTAGATTTCCCATTTAACTTTTGCTTATTAAATAACATTTGCTTGATATGATTTTCATTTTCTGAGTAATGATAAAATACTTAACAGGTATGGAAGCTTTGAATGGTGTTACTGCATTTTTTTTTTTTTTAAATTCAGCTATCCAACCAAGTAATTGTACTCTTCCAGCGTTCATCTTAAGAAAATCCATTGTTATGTCCCAAAAAGTTCGCTCAACAATAGCTGATTTAATAAGATGTTCATAGGAATGAAAGATAAACATTCACATACCTCACTTATTCATGTCTATTGCTCTGAACAAGGTCCTATGTAAAGTGTTGCTATTTTTGAGAGGACCTAAATATTTTTTGATTAATGTGGGGACATGGGATTTGAATATGAAATGTGTAATCTGGGATGCCAACAACTAAGGTATTCGATATTCACACTCTGTATTGAAATTAACTTTGTACTTTCAGGATCAACAAATCATGCTGGTGCGAGACTTATTATTCAGTGATGATACTGGGACAACTGTTCCCCTCAATGAAGAACAACGTGGAAAGCTGGATTTTCTCAACTCCAGGTTACTTGATGTTGCGTTGATGATCATTTAGAACTATCTTATAATGGTGTAATGTGAATTTCTTTAAACTTATGTGCATATTTATTAATATGTCGTAATGATCTTTTCAGTCGATTCGCGTCACCTCGTGGTGGTCGTACTATGCACAGAAGACTTCAGCGTATCGATGAGACTGGATCCATTCTTTCTGATTATTCCGATATTTCTTTCGACCTAACAGAAGACGATCTTGATGCGACTACTTTGCGCAATGGGAAGCAATACAGACGAGCTAAGATGGGAAGGGTAAGCGTCAAAAATATTGTATAAATGTATATTACTACGAGTATGAATCATTCGTATTTTAGCGTCTCGGTATTTTAAATTTTTTTCAATTGATTCTATGACTGCTTGTTTAGACTGCTTTTAAAATCTTCACTGATAGGCGTTTAATAAAGAATATTTTATTTCAATAGTAGAATGTGTCATGCCAATGTTGAGTATGAAAGACTCAGGCTCGATCAATTTAAAATTCTGGTCTGAAGATTTTTTCTGCAATATATTCTTTAGAAAGCAGCATACAATGATGAAGACCAATTCTCAACATCGAAGAGACAAAGATATGATGTGGTACGTATTCCACTATTTTTGCCTACTTCATGCTTGTTTTCTTATAATACTTACAACTCGAATATAAATTCCTAACACAAGTAACTGTTTGTAATTCATTTTGCATGGCATTTTATATCCGGATATCCCTTTTTTTATGATGTTTAGAATAGATAGAGATTTACTTGGTGGTAGATTTCCACTACTTCTTGTTAGTTTTAGATTTCTTCTACTCACATAGAGAGAGGATTGTGTGACCACAACTCATTATAAAATATCAAATCATTGAAATATTAGCTACTCTATGATTAAAAATGTAATATTTTCTGAATACTTCCAAATCAATATTAATTACAACTATCATATGCATGATCTAAGACTATTTTGTCCATAGCATAGTCCTGGACATAACAACAGTTATCAAGCAGCGGTGGGAGGCAATTACTATTTGGTATGTGGTTGAACCTTGAATTTTTTTTTTGAGTTCCTTTCTCTTACAATCGCATGCTTTTAAATCATTCTATCAGTCAGTATTTTCAATCTCAATTCTCAACTCAAAAAAAAGTTGCACTTTGGTACATAATGGGCACAAATTTGTACATACTGTCAAATGCATGCATAGCTGTGTGACGAAATTTGGGCCTTGGCTCATAAACCATTTACCTTAATTATACAGGGTGGGGCAACTCCCACATTTTGATTGAATTTAAAATGTGGGAGGTTTTTTATGTTAACCTGCGTTTTGGTTAATAACTAGACTCATTATGTGACAAAATCATGCTATGCTAATAGGAATTTGGGACGAATTTTGTGTGTGTAATAAAAAATATATAGTATTTTAAAATGAAAAAGAGAAGGTGTTGAATAAATATATGATGTTATCATGTTAGTTTATTCAGACTAACCCAGTTTTATTGAAATTAATTGCATAAATATACAAGTTCGAAATTTCTGTTAATATTCAAAGTTACCATTTTGAAAATATAGCAAGATTTCAGTGCAATATAGATCGAAATAAATTAGCACACCCAACTCTGAAGATATCTACTATGATCCAAAGTCTGTAAAATCCAGTTAAAACATTGAAATTTAACATCCATTTTATTTAACACAGAAAACGAATGAACAATTTCGTTGCACTGTGGATGGACCAACTACAGTCAGTGTTGAAAGGTTGGAGAAGAGTTTTACGAGACCTGCTCCACATCAAGGTAGAAGACGTCAATCTAGGGAACATCGAAGAAGAAGTGCTGGATGTAAGATAGCTTTGCTCTTCACTAATTGTTAACAATATAATTATTCGTAAATTAATTGCACTGCAAAAACTCATGGATTTTTATTTTCCAAGAGAATTCATGTTTTTCATGTAAAACTAATATAGCTAGACTTCACCTGTATGTTCGAATATCCTATATGTCAGAATCGACTACTTGTGTAGTGTGTTATATGCTACAATTAGGTATATTGTTGTAATAAAATGTTATTAGAATGTGACCAATTGAGTTCTACAGATGGTTGATGGTTTGGAATATTGTTCAAAATATATAATTTTGGAAATAACCCATTTAATTCAAATTCAAATAATATGATTCAACTGAAAATCTTGTTACTTCTGTCATATACATAACTTCTCTCTGTTTTCAGTATCTTCCGAATCAGAAGCTCCACAGAGCGATGTGGATAAATTCTGGCCAACAGCACCTGAACCCAGCGCAAAGCCCAAATCAATACTAAGAAGCATACAGGTAGGAGGACATGGCCTTGTACATTACAAACATGCTCTATTATAAGAAACAGAATTCATGGATTACTTTGCAAAAAGTTACGTTCTTTCTAGACATGTCCCAAATAGCCTGGGTTCTTTTTTTTTTGGGTGGTCGTCCTGCAAAGGATTGGGCATTGTATTTCATGGTTTGTAATCACACAGGCAGTCAGCTACTTTTCACTCATTACCAAGTCTATGATTTTGAATCGTATTTACGAGAAAATACAGACATTGCTGGAAATGAGCAATTATAATTTTACCCTTTTTTTAGACAACACCAACTAAATCTGCAAGATCTCACAACATGCAATCTAAACCCTGTGTTATTGTGAAGGAAACTTGTAAACCAGTGAGTTTTTGAAAATTGTTATTTTATTTTTTGGAAAGAAATTGAATTGGTAGCTCTTCTTATCAGTAGTACTTTTATTTTAGTGTGGAAAACGCATTCAGTTTGGAAAAAGAGCAATGAAATGTGCTGAATGTCGCTTGGTTACGCATCCAGAATGTGAAATCATGGCTCACGACTTCCAGTGTGATCCATCACAGTATTCACCTTCGGGCGGAAATTCAAACGATAAAGTATGTTGGAGCAGTCGTTCTCAACCTTTATTCTCTTGTGGCCCATTTTCAGTGTCAAAAAAATGTGACCCATGAAACGTTTAATAAAAATTTTTTTTTTCAATAATATAAAAAATTAACTTCAACACTTGGACTTAATTTTGGCCATTACATTTCTTGGGACGTACTGTAGGCCCATTTTGAAAATTCTCAGGCCCAGGACCACCATGAGAATCACTGTGTTAGAGTTTTATTACTAATCGATTTTAATCGGTAAGTATGTTGATAGGTATTTGTCTGTCTGTTAGATGCACGCGATATCTCACGAAAGCGAGATTGAATCTGCGCCAGATTTTGCATGTGCATTCATCTTATCTTGGACCAGAAGCCTATTGATTTTGGACGAATTATGTCGTATAATTAGCGAGGTATTAATTAATTAGTGATGGGACACAAGGTGTCACTATGGAGTAAGAGCGCTGTTTTGGGGGATTCCCTAACTTTCGATCGATAAGTCTTCGGTCTTGACTGATATTCTCGTTTATACTATTGGTAAAATTTCTTATTCTTTCTATTCTGTTATTGTTACTGAACAACTTAATTAAGTAATTTTGATTGCAGGAAGTTAATTTGCGACTTTATAAAAAAAATGGCATTCATATGTATATATATTATATATATATAGATAATAAATAAACTAGATAAAATATTTTTGGTATATATAAAAAAAATCTTCTATATTCATTGGTAATTACTAAATTTTTTGTAGTTTTTATCTCAATCATTATTGTTTCATCTTTCTTATCCAGCCATTTCAAGGTGCGGAAGGATTGGAGGCATTTCTGCATTCGGATGAAAGTCCACAAATTCCACCAATTATTTACCATACAATTCATGAGATTGATCGGCGTGGGATGCAGGTAATAATGCTCAGACCATGGGAAGAAAGATATACATTCACTATGAATAGGAATTGGTATGAGGTAGCATATATATGGAGGTCTCACATGCTCACAGGATCATATCCAACTATCAGGATATTGTGATTGTGATGCATATGCCATATGAGTGAATGTTTTAATTCGCGGGAAGCTTTTTAATTGACTTTAGGTCATTTAGCTATATCAATACCTTGATGCAATACGTTAAGATTGTGATTTGACTTCGACTGCTTTTAGAGAAACTGGTATTAAATATACTATTTCAATATAATGGAATGTACAAAGCATGAGACAGTTGATTGTATTGATTTAAAATCTTTCAAGGTTCATATCACTCAACATTTGTTGGTGCATAATACACTACTATATTATTACCTAAAGCATAATTTTTGCCGTTTTCGTGAACTTGACTCAGACATCATTCTCCTCACTTCGTTTCATCGAATTCTCATGAAAACTTTTCACTGAGATATTATTTTGACTTTCTTTTTATAACTATTGTAGGAGGTTGGACTTTATCGAGTGCCAGGTATGGTTCGTGCAGTACGTGAGCTGAAGGAAAAATTCTTGAAGGGAAAGACTGTGCCTGATTTATCGAAGGTATATGTTGTTAAATTGCCTTTTTTTTAATATATTATTACAATTTCATTTGCCTTCTTAATGAGCTCTGTTGCCAAGGATGAGTAGTTCAAATCCGAATCTATCAGGAGGCCAATGAGGTTTATTTTATTAGAACAACTGTCAATAACCTGTTTATATTTATCAAATTTTGTTATAAAAATTCTATTCATTCAACCTATTCATTTTCAGGGTATAATTAAATTGAAGCATGAAATAATAATTCTCCAAAATTTTATTCTAGCTTTTTGTTCAATAACTTCTACTTTTTGGAATCTCCTGCCTAGCTCTGTTTCTTAAGTGTTTACTTTTGCTCAAGCCCTTAAATTTTTTTTTATTTCTTTTGCCCGGTTCTGTGAATTTACAGGAAGCTATCAATTATATTGAATATTATTTAAATTATTTAAAATCATGATCACAAAGCTCAAATATGAAATACAAATACCCCAAACTACTAGTGAATCTCTTCAAGGCTCTGCTGTCAAGAACACTTGTTACTAAACCCTTTGGGGAAGATGTTCAATTTGGAGAATATTATTTACTTGAACTTTCATTATATAAGCAAAATAGCATCGATTTCTACCCAGCTTGCATAATTAACCATTTGTTATCATAAGTTAAACACAATAATTGATTCAAGACAACTTATATATATTTCTTTCTATTAAGGTTCAAGATGTTCATACACTCTGCTCATTGGTAAAAGATTTTCTGAGGGAAACTTTAAGGGAATCAATTTTGACTTTCAACTTGCATCCTAGATTTATTTCAGCTGCTGACAAAGTAAGTTTTGTAATATTTATCAGCGATGCTCAATGCTATATTTGTGTTTTCGTATTATTAATATTTGTGAATATTTGTGAATTCTTTAGATTGAATTTTGGAACGAATCAATTTTATTCAATTATCGACCTTGGTTCATACTTTTTTGTGTTCACATATGCTTTGCTTTCTATAAGTTGCCAAACAAATTCATAATGTCATTGTTTTGTCATAAAAATGTTGCTTACATATTTTTCAGGACAATGATGCTGATCTTTTCCAAGCAATCAGTGAACTTCCACAAGCTAACAGGGACACTCTGGCTTTCATCCTTCTACATTTGCAACGGATTGTTGAAACCCCAGAAATAAGAATGAGTCCGGAAGCTCTATCAAAAGCAATGGGGCCTTCTTTGATCGGATTTTCGTCAGATGAACCATCAGTCCATGAACTTCAGGTAACCTGGATATTTTAAGCAAATTAAATTACATAGGCAATAAATAATCAAAGAATTTCTTCTGAGATGAACACTCTCAGGGGAAAATTCATTTGATTCATTTACTAAGTCGTTAAGCACTTTACATGTCGTCACTGATAAATAATTTTATTACATCTCAAATTTAATGGTGTGTTGTTACGAGTATGCTTATTTGTAATGAGGGCATACAACTGAAAAATGGTGGTGAAAAATGAAGAGTTCAATGGTACAAGTGTTTCAATATCTGCCTTATACCATCATGTAATATATACATACGAAAATTTTGTTCATTTTTTGTCAAGACTTCATCTGGTTATCAAGAAAAAATATTGACTAGACTTTTAAACCTGCCAAGTGACTACTACACTAACATAATGCATAGTGGAAATCGTGCTGCTGATTCGAATGCTCTTCGAGATGTCAATGCCACTCCAGAACCTTGCAGAGGTAGGCTTAAACTAGAAAGTTATTTGTTCATGACACTAAGAATTTGAATTTACGAAACAGTGTTCCCCAATTTTTGTAGATTTTTCATTCTCTCCATAACAGTCTTCGGGTTTAGAGTTATACATGTGGCAAATCATAAAGTACAGAAACAGTGAATTTATTCTATTTAAATGCCATATCGACAGGAAGAAGATGACTAGTGGGATTGTTTATAGAAGCAATGTTGATTTTCTCAGCATTGAATAACATATCAAATATTACTGGGAATGTTGTGTTTGCAGCTTGCTAACCTGTTAACTGATAGTATCATATCATTGTCTGAAAGTTATATGCCATGAAAGATCATAAATCCATGTACTACATTTTGGAATTGCACATATAAAGTAATTGTCGCTGTCAGTGTAATTGAAGTTCGTCGAAAATAAAATTTTTAAAGTTAATTAATGATAAATTAGTATATTTCAAAATGTTGTATATATGAGGCTGATTTCAATTCTAAATTGTTTCATTTATTAAATTATATGTGTAGTGTATTCCTGTACCATAATATCCTGTCCTTCCTAAACTATAGTAATTGATGCTTGGTTACTACTATTGTTGCATCAAATATTCGATTGGATAGATAGTTTATAGCTGAGATGTAGGTATTTTTAAACAAAGGTCAGGTCAGGTGTAATTCAGTTTTAATATTTGTTACATTGGGCTATCCAGTTATCCACCATTGCGGAAGTATTGAAAAAGGATAAGTAGTTGTTCCCTCAGAAATCTCGATTGGAGTACTCTATCATAAATTTAAAAAAAAAAAAATTCAAACCATTCATTTGTGCCAATCGTACCAAAATAATGTTCGACATAACTTGAATTGAATTTGTATAAAAAGCAACATTGAGACAGGTTACCAATCTTGATCGGATATAGGAATGCTGCTGTTTAGATCTGAATCTGCAAAGATTACAGATTTCAGCACCTGAAGGGTAATATGAGCAATATGAGCATGTTTAATAAAATAGAAGTTGGGGTTTGAAAAGTAATTGTTTTAACAGATGACCCCGTTAGGAGGTCAACTCGTAACAACAAGAAACTTGGAAAGGCAGATTCTACCACTAGTTTAAAAGGTATCAACTATGCTTGATGGCATGCAAACTAACCATAACCTACTGTATCTAAAATTTAATCCAAATATACCAGTAGTTGTCATTCTTATGAATAATGCATGTTAAACTAAGCATGAAAAGTTAGCCAGTTTAGCAAGGATAATAAATGCAAATTATTTCCTGAATCAAGGTGATGTATTTAAATTGCCTTTGCATATTCAAGCTTTTTATAAACTCTCTATATGTATTTTGATTTTGGTTGAAAAATTGAGCAATCCATTTTACCATTTACCACAACTTATCGCATGGTAGGAGCATTCACATTCATATCATGGTAATTCAAATTTATGTTACTTTATTTCGCTTCATTTCACCTCTTTTCTTTGCTAATTTTAAGGATATGATTTTCAATTTGCTTATTATCGAACATATAGATGCAAGACATTTTAACTCGGGGGCTGTAGAGTCACAGTTTGGGCTTATTTTAATTGATGTCAATAACGGGGAGTCCCATTTTCAACTTCGTTCTCAGCAGACAATCCAATATGTCTTGCATATTCCAAAGTTTTTGTGGTCAAAATTTGGTTTTCTCAAAGTCCAAATCTCTTTAAACCTGAATCCGCTGTCTAGATTCAACTTGAGGTAGTTATTTACCATAAATGTTTTCCTTCCGAAAAAATGCTCACAAAAATTGCTTAGGGCACTGTAAAGTTACTTTATTCTATGTTGTTGTTTTTTTAATCTATTTCACATTTGTTTCCAATTGGCATTATTTCATACTGATTTGGTCATCTATCAATGTCTTATTAGCTTTATATTATTTTGAATTTTTGCATGGGTATGTATCTAGGTTGTATATTATAAGACTAAATTCTTAGTTGATGCTTGTAAATTGAGCAATATCTTAATTTACTTAGGAGCTCTCATTAAGTACATGCACAATGATTTTATATCCCCAAGCTTGTGCACAGGAATAAAATTCTCAATATCTAATTAGGTACTAAGGTCTTAAAATGCACATTAGTCATACGAAGTTGGCTTACGAAGTTTGATTATTTTTTCATATGAAAATGAAAACTTGTCATGGTGATTTATCAGATTTACCAAAATATTTCTTCAACAACTTTTCTTGCATAGCTCCTGAAAGCTCTTTGTTTGGACCAGTTGGATATTCTCCAAAGAAGACGCCATCTAGTACTTCTCTTGCCGAACGTGCCAAGAAATATCTTCATGGAACACCGTACGTATAACTGCATTAAATCATTGCAATAAAAATGCCAAAATGTTCTATTACTTCATTTTTTTTTTTTTTAGATTTGGCCGCGGTAAAAGGAAGGAGAATTTCTTTGAATCACCAGTCTTGCATTAAGAGAAGATTGGATTGTATATCAAGAAGACATGGATGAAAACATTAAAAAATTTTGTCAAGCACCAATTGTTGCGGCCATACTAACAATCCTCCTGTATTGTTATCTGTTGATTTAACAAACTTGTATATATCCATCCAATGTATATTAGGCCGTTTTCTTAAATCGTCACGATTTTTGGAAATAGTAATATTTTGTGTTAGATTTTATTTTTGATCATTCATGCTGCTATTATAGGTAAATGAAATACTTGACACTGTCAAGCAGACTGCTGTGTTGTACAACACCAATATTTATATCCAAATTTGAATGTTCTTGAAGCTAATCCTTGTATTCATCTTATGTATATATTTCAAAAACAAATTGCTCATCTTTTGTTTTTAAGCATTGTACTTTGAAGAATACCTTATTAATAGACTTAAGGTATTACACCTCCCAATTTTATTTGCGGTCATATTATTAGTTTCTTCACTGCCTTTCTTGAGTTTATCATCGGACTTGTTATTTTAGCTGCCACATATTGTAGGAATTGATTGGTTTGATGTCCGCTTATTTTATTTATTGCGGAGAGCGTTCTACTAGCATACATATTTTTGAAGCGTTAGTCATGACAATATATATAGTACCTTGTAGTAACATTTAATTCTGTTTACAACCAGGGTTAGAGATAGGATTGTCTTATTTGCGTGGCGTGTGGACGTTTCCGTCTTGAGATTGACTCATTTTGTTGAGAAATGAAAATAAAATAATTCTCAGTTGAAAAATGTGCCGTGTTGAAAATACCTTCATTATTACACTTCGATGGACGTTTATATCGCGGACATTTAAACCAATGGATCTTCGCGCTCGATACTTATCGCTCACGAATATCTAATTTCAGTCGTACAGATTAGTTTAGAGATTTTGCACAAATCTTATGAAAGAAGACGAAGCTCTGACGTCAATTGTCGCCGAGCGATGCATATTCAACGGGTTGCCCAGCGTAAGCTACATTGCTTTCCCTAAGTCAGTGGTTTTCAACATGTGGTGCGCGGGAGCTTTTCAAGTGGTACGCGAGCAGCTTTGAATTATTGCAACAATTATTGAGTTGGCTGAAATATGCCGACAACGCTTTATCCCCCATACCTGTGATCGGCAACCACCGGGCGGCGGCCTATCGCCGGTCCGCGGAAAGGTTACTGCCGGTCCGCAGAGAGGTGACACAAAAACGGCTAATTCTATATTTCAGAATCTGGATAATCATAAAGTTAGCACATCGGGTAAAAAAATAGTTTTGGCAAAACAAACATCAAGCAATACCCAGATCAGAGTCAGAAGGTTTACAGGCATTGTTACCTTTCCCAAAATCATATTAATGTGAGACCTGGTTTTCAATATTGATAACTACAAAAACGAAATATCGGAGTAGTCTGGATGTAAGAAACACGTTACGTGTGTCAATGTCGACCATACCTCCAATATTGGATCGGTTGATGGCCAGCAAACAAATGCAGATATTGCATTAAACAGCATCACTTTTGTGTTTTAGCATATTGTAAACATAAATTTCCTAATGCGTATAATTTATTGCATAGGCTTAGTCCGTTTGTATATAGGTGGTCCGCCAAAATTGTGGTCATGCTTTACCGGCCCGTCACTTGAAAAAGGTTGCCGACCACTGCTCCATACTATATGTATTCGCGGAACGGCCTTTATGAATGTTTACTCTGGCATCTATTTCCTTGTTTATTCCGTAACTACGACCATTTAGCAAAAAGTCAACAATGACGTAACAATGGCAATTTCTGCAGCCGCTCAGACACCTCTTTCTTTCAGACAGATATTCAAGTATGGTTGTTAAGTAAACGTTGCCTCGTTTTTGTAGTTTTGTATGTTATTTGACAGTTTTCAGTTGTGTTTCGAAAAAATAAGTGTGAATTAAATATCTTAATTGTCATTATGTCTTCAAAGAATCATTAATTTAGTTGGTGGAATCAAAAATGGGTCTCGCAAATGCTGCGATGGACAAGGCTGAACTTAGCTATATCAGTAGGCCTACCTGCAAACGGCACAGGGTTGAATAATTTTATTAAAAAGGGTCAAAGATGTTTCAAACACGTAAACCATCTTTTAAGTCCAACAGATCAAAAGACTCTCAAAATAAGTATAAAAATGCAAGATCAAAGTATACGGTAGTAAAAAAAAATCTGGGATCAAGGGTCGGAGAAACGTCCTATGGACCAGTCCAGTCTTTAGAGATCGCCCTCGCATGTTATTGTCTATGAACGAATCGAGATGTGCATGTTATGGTCCATTTTGCGAATTGGGTCACAAAAGATATAGTATCACATTATAAAATACTCCCACAGCGCATGTCTTGTACCATTGTTCCCCGCGCCAAAAGGGGGATTTTTCGGTGGTACGCAGACAGAGTAAAAAACAGTAAAGTGGTACGCGGTCAGTAAAAGGTTGAGAACCACTTCCCTAAGTCGAGGAGGTTTTCCCGTGTCCTAGTTTTTTTCGTACGTTCGTTTATTAATCCTCTTTGCATCCAGTTAACAGTGGGATTTGTTCACCCGGCTGCGATGCATTTATTCGTAGGTCTAGACATTTCCAAGACATTGGTGTTTGCGACGAGAAGTTCGTCACCGTTATTACACATCGTATTTAATGTATAATAGCAGACATTTCGAAGCGTTAAATCCGTAGCCGATCTGAACTACCTTACTGCGATGAGGATTCCAGCCAGCAATCTCTAATAATTAGGCTAATTTATCTGGTGCCACATATACCCCCTGAACCAGGGGAGTCGTATGCATCTGAAATAATTGCATTGTGATACCCTGCACGCGAAACTAACTTGGCACTACTGAATTGTAAACAGACCGCCGTTTACGTTTTTGATGGCAACCTGATACTGCAAACCGTTGCGTCTGATTGCCCGTTAGGCCTTAGGTATATATATATATTATATACTGCATTTTTGTATCTGTCCAAGGACCTTGATTATGCGTATTTAAAAACCATATCAGGGCCATTCCAAGCAAAAGTTGAATTCCATCAATTTTTTAAAAAGTGTAGTGAAAGTATTTTTTTTTTTTTATATCAAAAGACATTGGAATTTTATTGGACTGCATTCATTTCATCGAACAATTTAAAATTTCACCCAGGTTATTGATGGTTTATAAAAAATGCCCTGAAATGTAGAAATTTTGGTTTAATTGACATATTTTGTGATGATTCCTGACACAAAGTGTTTGATTGTGTGGTACAGTTATTTCATTTGGAATTGACGCACTGGATTTAAGTTAATAAAGTTTAAATGTTTGCAGTGCTGTAGGACATTTCTTCACCCATTTAACGATTTATTACCAGAATTTTAATGATAGATAGATGATAGAGGTCGCTATTCCGAAATGGAAAAATGTCCTGTAGTGTCACATACAATATGCACACTATTGGCATGAATATACAGTGTTACATTAAGTAACTTGAGCAGCACATAGAGGGGTAGTTCAGCTACTGCAACAGAAAATATTATGGGCTTCTACTGTACCATCGCATAAATTTAAAGCACAACACAACGTACTGTTAGTGCATGGTAGATTTGCCGTCCTGCAGTGTCACTCTATATTTTACTATATATTTTTTATATACTAAGTAAGTCTTGGGCAATGTAGGGCAATGTAGAATAATTAGATATTCTAGAATAGGTAAATCGAATTCAGAATACCGAATCCTATTCTATTTTCATACCTATTCAAAAAGTGGAATTTCCACAATGCTGGATTTAGATGTTAAAAAATTGCAAATGTATTACTTTCTATGAATGTATTATTTATTTGGAAATGTCCTGAACATTGGATTTCATTTGATACTAAACAGGCAGTTCCGAGGACAATGAAATTGGAGAATATTACAATCTTTTTCGCCTCGAATTGTTCCAAATGTGTGTAATCCCTAAATACTAATAAATACTGATATGCTAAATTAAGACACGCTTTACACACTTTAATAGTAAGCGGTTAAATACAAAAATAGACACGAAACGGCGTCAAATCATTATTAATGTAAGTCTGCCGAGTGTACTAAAACATACCCGCTAAGAATTAATTAGATGCAGAACCAGTGTGGCAGGCAACCACCAATTGTGCGAGCAAGACATATGAAACCGAGTTCCCGTAAACGCATTTGGTACTTAGTTATTAGGTAATAACATCTAAGAACAATTCATTTTCTATGATTATCGTTACATATCATTATCTACCCAGACTTGGCCCTACTCAAATTCAATACGTCACTAGCTTCGTCAGATGCAGCAACTTTTTAAAATATTACAGACATTCGATCAAACGTGCATCTATCTTGAACTATAGAAACGTTATCATTAATCATTATATAACCAGACTTAGCTCTACTCAAATTCAATATGTCATTATCTTTGCCAGACGCCACAACTTTTTTTAAAGTTCATTAGCGACTAAAATACTACAGACACTCGATCAAACGTGCGTCTATCTTGAACGATAGAAACGGACCGGAAAATATGTAATCTTTTGAGAGTGAAATTTAATTAAATGTGACAGATGTTCGCGTTTTGCGATATAACTTTGTATTTCGGAAAATAGTAAGATAAAATTATTCGTAACTAATATTTGATCTAAATTAATCGCAAGTAATGCTATAACATTTAACGCCTGGCTTTTGGTTTACGTGCATCATTTTTTGGGAAAACTTGTAGGTCGCGAAAAATCAATTTAAAATGAAGTAAGGCACGTCTGTAAACAATTAAAGATTGTTGCATTCAGATTATCGGAATATCACCAGTAAGTCGGCACAAATAATTATTATTATTATACGCTGGCTAGATAGCAAAGCAGGAAAACGCAAAAATGGTGCAATAACGAATCTTCGCCGTGAGGTTATATTGCCGACTTCTTGTCCTGAATATGCCGATTGAAATTACAGTGTTTGTGATGTTTACCGATTTATGGGTTCTTTGCGAGCAGACGCAAGTTTAATTAAACGAGAGAGATTTCCACGCGCTCGTCTGTAATTGATAAATTAGAAACCCGAAATACAAAAATTGAGGCATGGCGCCAGAGAGGCGGAAACCGAATCTTGTTATCGAATCCCGTTGGATTCGATTACTTTGGGATTCGAATCTTCCGGATTCGGTACTCTATATTGCCCATCCCTAGTCTTGGGTGTATCTTTTGTACAATTTTTTACATATTCAATAAAGCAACTGATTGGACAATGAAACAAAACATGTAGCTGAAAATGTAAAAATATATTTCATCCAACAACATGCAAAATTTCTGGAATTGTCCTGTAGTGTCACTTGGAATAGCCCATCAGATAAAGAACCATCCACAGTTGAAACTGATGCATCCGATGTTGATATCGCTTCTGTGTTGGCCCGCAATGGGTGTCTTGTGACCTGTTTATCTCGTGTACTGGGCAATAGTGAAAAGCGATATCCTGCAATAGAAAAAGAACCTATGGCAATAACAGAGGCGACACGTACATGGGGGCTTTATTTACATGGACGCCATTTCAGATTGTTGACCGATCAAAAAATAAATATCATATCTTCCTAAGCTGCAATTTCAGTTTTCTCCGAGTTTATGGACTCAAAACATCCGTATAGCATTATATTGTAGACTTTTTCTGACTTAATGTAGCTCAAAAGTAAGAAACAGCAAATGTTTCCTCAAAAAACACTAAATAAACCAAACTAAAAACACGTTAAAACGGTTTACTTTAAGAGGTTGCCAAGGATGTTTCAAACTTCATATTTGAAAATTAAAAAATTAGCATACTGCAATCCGCACCCTATTTACTGAAAATATAAAATAATTTTCCTTAGCGGGGTGGAATTCCGCAAATACTGTAAAGAATGTAGATTAACTTAAGATGATAGTCCTAAAATGTTTCTATACATGCAAGAAGAATTCTAAATATTATTCGTGACTTTAATAACCTATGAATACAGGAGCATTCTTGGTTTTCGTAAACTGATATTATATATATATATATAACTTTACAATAACAAATATAACTTTGAATGGATTATTTTACTATTGACTTTTCATGCCTTTCTCACATAAAATTCCTTGTTGATAATTAAATTCCCTATTTGAAATTTTTACTATTATAGAGAGAGAGACAGAGTAGGAGAGAATGTGACTGGGAGTCACTGAGCATAAAAAGCTTCATATATATATTATAGATACAGATATATAACGGAGTTTGTCTGTTGATCTGTTCTGTAAAATCGAATAGCGAATCATAAGTGGGGATGGCGGATCGAGTCCGAATTTAAAAACGAATTCAATTCTTCGCGGAATCGACTAGAATCAATTTCATGCATTGAAATCGATTCTCGGGGTTAAAACTTGGATTGCTAACAATGTGTAACGTTTTGTGGCAATTCCTTCTCATATATATATATGTATAAACTGCCTTACTGCTATGTTTGTTGAGTTGCTACGACGTCGCAAACTTCACTATATAAATATCTCGCCAGGAGGTTTTTAAGTTTATTTATTTCTAAAATCCCTTTGGGTTCTGAGGGATTCTTTTTTTTTGTGCGATTTTGTCTCCTGTGACAGATTGGATACCCATACTTCTTAGTTTTGGCTTTCTTTTCCGTTCATATTTTTGAACATAGCTCTCTTGTTTGATGTTATATGCAGTAGTGGGATTCAGCCGGTTCGCACCGGTTCTATAGAACCGTCTCACGGAATTTTATGAGATCAGCGAACCGGTTAGCATTGCAGAAAAAACATGACTTTTTGTAACAGAACCGGCTGAAAATATGACATTTGTGTGATGGAACAGGCTGACAAAAATTTTGAAACCATCCACTGGTTATATGATACTGATTAGGTGGGTATGTTTTCTGGATAAAATATGTCGAGGAATCGAGAATCAGAATCGAAAATTTAGAAATCGGATAAGAATCGAATACTTGTAAATAGTCATACTTAGCATCCTTAATCATAAGTAAGGAAACCCGCAATGGAAAACCTGAATAACAACAGTTGCTTGTCTACATGAGTTTCTCATCTGCCATATTTATATGAAAAATGCTTTTAAATTCTTCTTGTACCACAATATAGCAATGGATGCGAGTATCGCCTTGCAACTTGGCCTATCTTTTCGTTTTAACTTTATTGTGTTATTATGAGTTGTAGTAGGTTTTCATTTTATATAGCAGTGGTCGGCAACCACCGGGCCGCGTCCCATTGCCAGTCCGCGAAAAGGTTACTGCCGGGCCGCAGAGAGGTGACACAAAACGGACAAAGCCGTGATAAAACCTCCGCAATCTAACCACAAACCCTACGACTAAAACAGCACTCAACAGCAAACCAGGCAAACACAACGCAATTGACCAGCATGTCTGACTTCACAAACAATTGCCATGTCAGTATGTCGTAATGATTCTGGTTCAAATGTTTCCTCTACGCCCGTATAAGAATGTCTGTCTTTCATCAATACGAATAAGATCTCTTCAACAAAATAGTTCTCACTAACTCCACTACTGACTCGAAGCTAACCGTTCATATCTAGTCAGCGCTAATTCTATACTTCAAAATCAGGATAATCATAAAGTTAGCACCTCGGGTAAAAAAATTATTTTGGCAAAACAAACTTCCATCACTACCCGGACTAGAGTCAGAAGGTATGCGGACATTGTTACTTTACCTGAAAACTTATTAATGTGAGGCCTGGTTTTCAATATTGAAAACTACAAAAACGGAAGATCGAAGTAGGCTGGATGTAAGACCTTTTAGTATGTTGTCAACAGGAAATTTTCTAATGCCCGTATATTAATTTGCATATTATGCTTAGTTCGTTTGTATGTATAAGGTGGTTCGCCAAAATTTTGGTCGTGCTTTACCGGTCCGTCACTTGAAAAAGGTTGCCGACCACTGCTATATAACATAAAATTTCGGAGCTCTGTATCCACTTTATCTATGCCGGTATTCATTTAATTATGACGAATACCAACCATTGCTGCTCACCCCTTCAAAATTTCCTCGCTGTTTCAAGCTTGGAATTCTTTCCAATAGCGCCCAAATTTATCATAGATTGGAAGATGGAACAACTACATAATCGTGTTAAACATCAATACTCTGTATTTTGTGAAAAAAAAATATTGCTGATGTTGCAATCAATAGCCCAAGCGGCGGTTCTGCGTCTCTCAAATTAGTATCAATGTAACAACGAGAATATCGGTCGGAGACCGAAGACTTATCGATCTAATGTCAGGGGATCCCTCAAAACAGAAACTGCGGGTTCGATTCATTTGCTCTGACTCTTGGCCGGATGTCCCATCACTGATTAATTATTAACTCGCTAATTATACAACACAATTCATCCAAAATCAATAGGCTTCTGGTCCGAGATATGATGAATGCACATGCAAGATTTGGAGCAGATTCAATCTCGCTTGATACCTCGTGAGATATCGCGTAAGATACGAAAGTGTTTAACAGACAGACAACCAAATACCTATCAACATACTTACCGATCAAGATCGATAAGTATTAACAATACAAAATGATTTAATAAGCTCTGATATTAATAATTTTTCACATATTTCTTAATTGCTGCATGCGGCTCTTATACCAAAAAATTTTGCCCGCTCCTGACATATACGATAAGATATATGATAGTGTGCTTTCCATAAAATGCCCCGATGCAGTTTTTCTGAATAGAAATTCGAAGCGTCAGCAAATTACATCGTTTTGAATATACCTGGTGGCAATCATGCGCTGAACAACATCCTTTATTTTATCTTATTGTACTTCTTTTGGTCTGAGAGAATTCAAGCCTCTTTATATCGATATGAGCCTTTGCGCCAGTAAGGACGTATATTAATGGATCCTGCCACAATCCTTCACCCCGAATACAACACACAAGTCCTTAGTGACAAATAATATTAAATGTAAACAACAACAGACTCTTAAGACATCTTAACATAGAATGATTAGAAATAGCATTACGCGCTCGAAGAGTGCGACTGGAAAAAAGGTTACACGCATGAGCGAGTTGATTGGGGTGTTACATGTAATAATGTGAGGGAAACACAAATAAACTGGCGTTGTGTCTTGCAAATGTTTTGATACAAATTATTTTTATAGTTGTTTATGTAGTGCTTCACTGTATATAAATATATATATCACCACACGCGTTGTTGTTATAAAGCCTTAATACAGTCCTATATTTACCCTTACATAATATTGTTAGAATAGCATAATATGTATATATAAAAAAAATCTGGTATTAGCAAGGTGCAAGCTTAGATTCATTCTTGAAACAGAGTATAGGAGAATGCAGTCATTGATTTTGTAGATCTTGAATCTCATAAATTCGCCACTTTTTTTATGTAAGCTTGTATGGAAGGTACTATTTCACATCTTCTATTATGCCAGAATTTCAGTAAATCACAATTTATCACACATATAATGGAAAGAAAACAACGAATGTATGTAGTCGGAATTAAAACTCATAATTTTTAAATTGGTGCCCATAAATATCATGTAAACAGTTTGTCCATACTAGAACAATAGGAAAAATGTGTTAGAGTGAGAATACGGTAATACGGACAGTAATACAACAATTTACTGAAGAACTTCAGGCGCCCTCTAATAAATAATCCCGCTACTACTCCACATTACAATCATCGTTGTGTAATATCGGGTCTGATGGTAGAAATGTGATATACATACAGGGTGTCCAAAAAAATTCGCCCGATTTTATATAACAGTTCTCATTTATCATTCAATGAAATTTATCTAAACTTGCAAGTGTTATAACTATAAAATCGGGCGAAACTGTACATATATATATATGTGAATACATTTATATTCGAATTTAAACTTACCTTCTAAACCTACGTTCTCGCAAATATTACGAGGATTTTTCGATTCGAACTTATTGTGGATTTAAAACAAGTAAAAACAATGTGTATGTATATGAGCAGAATCAAAAAACTATAATTTCTTCAGTCTTCCTCAGCAGAACTTAACATATTGCTGTAAATATAAAAGATAAGGTATTAATTTACATTGACCATTTCAAGTTACATCAACATAATCACGAATTCTCACTATTCATGAACAATAACTAAAAGAAGAAAACGAATTTGAAATGTGTTTATATTGTAAATATAGATTTACTGGTGTTAATAAGACAGTATTATTTTAGTTTTGATAATAAAACTTACGGAAATTGCACATAGGTCCAACCCATCCAGAATTGCAGGTACATGCAGAATTATTCGAAGCATCGTAACTTCCTTCAACACACACTGTGCAACAAAATACGTTAATTTGAAAGTTGCATTATTTTAAAGTTTGATTCAAAAAATAGTCAGTTGAATTACGTTTATATTGTTATACCCATATAATATTGTAAATTTACCAGGCATTGTGTTTGCGAAATGAAAATCTGTAATATGGATAATGTTTCGGTTAGGAATTTATATTGCCTTTACTTCAGTGATAAGAGGTGATTTTATGAATTAATATTATTCCTTGTAAAGTTTTTTTTTACCTAATTATAATTTTCTTCATCGTTATCGTAGCTTTGTTTTGTTTGATGAAAACAATTCGGGTCTAGCAATGGACAGAACATATAAAGTACAATCTTCAATCTTCCACTAAGTTCATATGAACATTGTACTATATTTGTATTGGACAGACAATATTTTATATTTCCATACTAAAAAAAATTCAATGAATCTGATATTTTTTCAAATGCTTCATGATATATTTTCGCGCAAATATCTTTTTCTCATGCGCATATCATTCATAATTCAAACTTAGCAAGCTGTATACTCACTTATATTACACGCTTCTCCGAACCAATTCGCAGTGCAAGAACAATCGACCGACGGAGAACTTGTAGGGGGATCCGTTGATGCAGTCTATACGTATAAAGAGCAACTGTTACTAATATTTAACCTCAGTATCTATTGGCACAAACAGACACAATTAAATTTCACCTAAAGTAAATTATTCATCGCTATTGTCCGCGAACAAGGAACAAATCTTTCAACTCTTTCCAAGTTCATAGGCTCTTCAAGTATTGAAACAATCCAATATATACAATCGCAATATTACGTCGTATTATGATTTGTGTTTTCTATTGAAAATGCAGTTCTCCCATCTACTGTGTTAGCATTTCTCTCGATAATCAAATTTACAGGACGGTTAATGAAGAAAATTTTACAGAATCAAGAAAGAGAAACATGTGACGGTGCACCACGCAGACAGACGTTTGTAGTTACTTACCGGAAAAATCAAAACCATCGTCTGGTCCTCCACTGATACTGGTGATATCATTACGTGTGCTTCCACTAAATCCTGGCTGGCCTGGGCGTTTATTCACAATAACGACACCTCCGGTAGAAGCTGGAATAAAACATATGCATATGTCATTCATACATTAGAAATGATTTGTAGGATAAATTTGTAAGCTAGTCCATGTCCATGTCCAAGTCCATGCTTCCGAAAACAAACAATACAGTAAAAACTAATCCCATACCCGACTTGGAATGGTAACCGGACGAGAGGCCGTGGTTCGCCATATGGATAAGCTGTCTTATCGACTTTCCTCTCCCCCGGGATAAATATGTAAATCCTATCCTATCCTATCAAACAGGTTCTATGTATTGAGTATCAACGTTGTCACTGGATTACTTGGTGAATTACAATTCATTATGTATTACATTTTATATGTCGTCACGCTAATGACCGAATTGTGTAAGTCATTTTTGGCGGTTTTGAGTTTTTCATAAAATAGGTATCTATGTAATGCTGCGCACCTGTCTGTTAATTTTATTTTAAAAATTCCGAAACAACCCATAAAAATAGAGATTTTGTATGATATGCAAATTAGTTCAGTTGTTTCGTCATAATGAATTATCTTTGTAAACGCAGGACTATTGTGACGGCACAAAGACAAAATAACTTCGGGGAAGGATTTTTGAGTTTTTGCATCTCAGATTCTCGCTTGGCGCTTATAAATTTGAATTTATACTACAGTATAAGAAGGCGTGCACTTGTGATATTCACTGTCTGAGTCCAATTCACCTTGGTTTGCTTTTATATAAGGGTACATTGCTGTTTTATTCTCTATATTTAACTTTAGTCTAATTTCGGTGGATGTGCAGAGCGTGCTATATTGATGAGAATTACATTCGTTTTTGGATTGTTTGGTTTTCAGGACTGGTGCATATAGTGAAGTTGCAAAATTGCGTATGTCCCCAAGTCATAGACACATTTCTGCCTAAGTCACAGCGCGCCATTATGACGTCACTTAACTGCGTCATACAAATTAACTTAAATCCGGCTACGATCAAAAAATTGAACCATGGCAAATTATTGACTCTCAATGGCATAACAATATCATTAGGAAGTTTTTTACGTTTTTCTCAAAACTGCTAAAAATGACATACGCAATTCGGTTATTAGCGTGACGATGTGTGAACTACTCGATCGATTACTACTAATTTTTTATATTCTCACTAAATTGATATTTCTGTTGTGAAATTGGTATCAATTTTAATAAGGATTAAAAACAAGATGAGACTTACCAGTTATCTGTTCGTCATGAATAGCTGCAAGGCATATTGGTGTTTTGTCATTGTATATTCCGTCTCCCACGATATCAACCAAGTTCGGGCTGCAGTTATCCGGGCAAGTGAATATGAATGAACTTGGTTGGCCTGACATGGTTTGTAAGCAATCTGGATCTATTGTAGCTAATATAAAAAAATCGCAACCACCTTTTGTATCCCTTATGGTGCCTACGTAATGGCTGCAACATGTATGTCTAAAGCGTGCGTTTCTTTACATTCCACAGTAATATATCTCAAACGTGTCGGATTTTTTCAGACACCGAACATACGTCATAAGTCAAAACACCAATCAAAATATATCTTACAATGAATTTTTTTCGACATTATAGGGGCGAATTACATAGATACTTACATACTTTCATGTTAACATAAGTAAAATGCCATTCTAATAATCACCACATTATAGCACACCAATCTGAACCAAACTTACTGCATCTTTAATTAATAAGACAATTATTCATAAATAAAAATGCACACAATGTTACTCCTTACTTGAAAATCTGAACGCAAGGTCATACGTAGTTAACAGCCTTGGGTTAGTTCCACGTAAAAAAGGAGCGTTGGCGTATAATATAATCCCTGGTTGTTTCAACAACAACGGCACCCGCACTTCCAACTGTAAAAATATTTTGTTAAATCAGAGTTTGTATGAATTTTCGTGACCAAAAGAAGTGCGCGAACTTATTCATTTTAATAAATTGTTCAACGTTGCTATGTGATGATTTGAATTGATAGCTGGGGTGATAAATTATATACCTGGAACGCAGTGGCGGCGCGTGGTCATTTTGACAACCGGGGCAAGCTACTGCAGGACCAAGTCCCCCCATCTACGGGGACAGGATGAGCGCTGTAAGTTCTCCCCTCATTTTATGAGTATAAAAACCATTCCATCGGTAACAACCAATCGGCAAAAGCGACAATTTTTAACGATAAGAAATTGTCTTTAAAACCGGTCCAAGTCAAGGGATTAATAAATATAGACATAGTTTATTTTGAAACCTCTTCCAAAAGGAAAGGCAATATTTACCCAGATAAATACAATGACATATTAACAGAAACTTCGGGAAAGCAGACAAAACCTAAAATAAGGTTTGAAACGTTACTATGAAGAAAGGAAAGTTAATGCAAAGATAAGGACATGCGTCGCTCACTCATAGATATATATGCTGCTAGACTTCTACTGCTTGAACATATATGCAACACGCCGCGGTTTCTTGGAAGCAAAATGCTCAATAACGCGCTGATTAAAGTCATGCATCCCAGAAATAACGTCTCTGTGATCAATCAATCAATCATCATTTATTCGTCAACACAATCAATATAAATATATCACGGAAATATGGCAAGATATACAATAAGTAAAAAAAGAACTTCATATGTGTGACAGGAGTCGCGAGGGACCACGAAAGGTCTTCGAGCAGCGACACCTACGATGCTGATTCAGCTTAATAAATAAATTTAGTTAACGCCCATGCTTCTAATCATTATTATTTACAAAACATAAAAAACATGACATCAAACAATTGAATAATATGTGTATATAACAAATTTGAAAAACATGAAAACCACCAAATAGCTATTACAAACTTCTTTATATATATATATGAAGGAGAAAAAATCCAAATTCAAAGAGAAACCAATCATAATAAAAGTAGATGAAACTCTAATAAATGTACAATTAGGTTTTTAGACCGTGTACATAACATTGAGGTGTATATAACACCTCAATGGTACATAACGGCATAATCGTTGCCAACCAAGCAGCAATTTTGAAAAAATAAGGACTCCGTGCACCTCTGAATCGCTCGAGCTGGGATCAGCGTTGTCAAGAATAACAAGCCAAGGTCACATGCTGTCGTGAGTCAGATGTTAAGAAACGGCAGCAGATTAGAATTGGTCAATAAATTTTCAGATGATCAACTTCCAGAAAGGTAATTATCAATATATTTTATTTTCAGGTCTCTTTTAAAACCATGATATGGCAGTGATCTTATGGTACCTGGTAAATCATTCCACAACTTCACACCCATATACTTTATAGATTTTTGTGTTGAGCATAATGTATATCTTGGGACATATAAGGCACCTTGCGAGGCAGATCTAGTGCGATATGAATGGACTGCAGTCTGTTTAGTAAAATACCCTACAAATGCCTTTGGAAGTTTGTCGTTGAAGTACTGGTGCATGAGTTTCAGTATCTCAAATTCATGGACATGGTGAAGTTTTATAATGTTAAATCTATGGTACAAAGGATCAAGTCTGGTGTGTAGAGGTGCATTACCAATTGCTCGGATTGATTTATTTTGCAGCACCTCAAGTCTGCGGATCAGTGTGGATGATGCACTTCAAGGAATTTAATCTATCTTGCTTCATTGTGTTTCTGAGATACGTTTTAATACGTTTCAGCGTGCTGAATGTTCGCTCTGCGTCGGCGGAAGAAATAGGCGTCGTCAAAATGATGTCCAGAAATTTTGCAGACGCCGCAAAGGTAGTTACTGGAGTGTTATCTATGAGGAACCCATAGAGCGCGCAAGTTGATGTGATATTCAAAAAAGTTTGATTGGTGTATATACATCGCAATTCATTTTCCAATTAACCCACGTTGATCATGGGGTAAAATTTGGAGACAGTAGCCAACAAATGGATGGGAAATTGACGTGCAAATTTTGAAAAATTTTTGGGGTTCATCAAAGAGAACGCGGCAAGGTGTTCAGTGCGCAGACGATCGCCTATTTGATTCACCAGAATGTCACAGCATTCCTTTGCAGACAAAATCAAACGCTGCGTTGTTTGCCCGCGGCGTAAAGAAGCACTCCATGTGTCGTCGTATTTTATTGTTTCCCGGATACGAGATACAGCATCGCAGAAGTCTGAAATACACGATTGCACAGCCGCTCCATCCATTAGCCTTGACTGCAATGCGCCGTATAATACATCCACGTGATAGAATATTGTGGAGAAAAAAGCGAGAAAAAATGAAAACTCACCATCTTCTAGCAGACGCTTTAGACCTGCCGTCTCCCTCACAGAGCGTTCGTCCCAAACCGGAGAGCTCTGAATGCCATTGAAACACTCAATGAGCTCAGACCTAATTTCGGATACGCCCTGCACCACGCGTGATTGGAAGTTCAACGTGTTGGTGCACAAGCTGGGAGACGGCGGCTACATATCTGGCGAAGGAGGTCAGAGCGCTTCGGAGAAACGGAAAAAAATGAAGAAAACCCCGAAACATTTGCAAAAAATATACGGACGAGAGGGGTATCAAGACACATATTTTTAATAACGAGGTTAAATTGGTGTGCATAACAATGTAAAAAATGCGCATGAGGAAAATCTTCTTTTATATAAACTTGAACACCATGTTTCGACCCACTCATGACTGCCGCGCCGTCATAAGTTTGAGCTATCAATTTTGACTTCGCGTTGTAAGGCTGTAACACTTCTTTCAGTACAGCCGATATCCCGCAAGCCGAGCGATCAACGATTGGTACAAAGCTGTGAAATCTCTCGGTAGGTTTACCATCTTTCACAAACCGAAAAATCACAGCCAGTTGGGAAACGCACGTGATGTCAGTTGTCTCGTCAGACTGAATCGAAAGGAACTGGCAATTCTCAATTTCCAGAGCCAAATGTTGTAAATAAATTTTATACATTGAGTCGAGCAAATCATTTTGGATATCCTTAGATGTCCTTTTCGAAACAGTTGCGGCATCAAGATGATCTCTCAATACTGTATCTAGGGATGCGGTGTATTCCACCATATCCCAAAATACCCCTCTATTAGAAAAGCCCACGGAGGGACAGCTCGTGACAACCAATGAACTTCAAAACATCTATCAAGCGACCGAGAACATTGCGGTTTTTCTCGACGTTTTGGCTGTGCCGACGAATAGAAACCGCGCGTCCTTCGTCCAACTGTGCTGCAATATTAACATTTCCGAATGTTCGGTATTTTACTGCATTGTCCAGATGCTCCATAGAAGATTGATGATCCCTGGCACGCTCGGAAAGATGTTTAAGATCTCTAAAACCAAATTTACACCAACGTGAGTCACGGGCGGTAGCAAAAAGTAGGCAATAAAAACAAAAAAGTGCATTTTTGTCCTCGCTGTAACACAACCATTCGTGTTTTTTATACCAAGTTTCTGCGCAGAATGTACGCCGACGCTTTCCTCCGTCATGGGATTGTTCCGGTGAACAATTTTTTGGTTGATAAGGCCCAAGACGTTGTACCTCTAATTTGCTGCGAAAACGGAGTGCGAAGTAGTGCATCAACCTTATTCATTATGAGCTCTAAGGATAAGAAATGCGAAGCCGGAAAGAAGTGAGGAGCTCAAAAGAAATGTGGAAAATCGAAAGCAAATGGACTAAAGGTCTCTAACTGATTCAAATAGCGAAACAAGCGACAAAAACGAAGGCGAGGAAACTATCAACTCTTCAAGCAACCAACGAACGAGAAGGAATGCGTGAATATGTCAACACGTTGTTGTAAGAAACGTCGGCATTCTGTCGTCATAATTTCGGGGCTAGCCCCGATCGGCCCCGATGATTTAGTAAAAGAAACAGAAAACAAACGAGACAAACGCGGCGAGTGGAAGATAAAAGAGAGAATACGATATACAATGAGCAACCGGGGCAAAATCGGCGTCGCCCCGTCGACGTTCGGCGAAGGCTTTGCGAGCGAAAAATGAACCATGTCGGGAGAATATGGCTAGTGTAGACAGTCTGTGCAACCGATATTGAGGTATTTTTCGAATATTTTTCATTATACCGAAAAAAAAACCGGGGCATTGCCCCGGTTGGCCCTATTGACGCGCCGTCACTGCTGGAACGTACATATATTGAAGAAGAAATATTGTAGGACTTGACATTTTTCCACTGTTTTTGACTTACTACATATACAGCATACTTATGGCCCGCTAAAGTTATTTCTATAATCGGTGTTTCAATACGAAAATTCTATAGAAATCATAAGGTCAAATTCAAGAAATTCTGTAGTAGGATCAATTTGAATCCCGCAAAGTATTTAGTTCATAGCTATACAATATATCAACTTATCAATATCACCTGGGGCTGCATCAGCGTGTATCGCAGCAGCACAAACCAGAGAATCCGGTTGAAAAGCAGCTGGTCCACCTACAACATACACATCTCCGATATCACAATTTGCGGGGCATTCAAGAGTGGAAACACTTCCCCCCAAATCCTCAAATCTTATTTCGCATTATGCTGGTTGCAAAGCTAAAAAATATATAGGACTGTAGTGTAAGAAAGTGTGAAGATATCAAGACCTTGCTTTGAGCAGACTACGCAAAACCGGCACCATAAGTTTAGGGGTTAATGTGTAACGAAATAGTGCCTGAACGGTAAATGGAATTTTTAGGGTTTCGGTGGTACGTCATCTTGGTACACATACTTCCGGAGTGCCCCCATTTTTATAAAAGATTAGTGGAGCGACAGTAGTGTTTATTTAGGACGGACGGTTTGGTGACTCGTTATAAACTCTGTTATAATCTCTGTAGGCCACATTTTATCAGATTTACGTGTAAAATGAAAATAAAGGAAATGGTTCAAGACTCACCCGGATTAACAACAGTCAATGAGCATGGAATTGATAATTTGCTGAATGAGCAGAGTGACTCAGGAATGGAATAAGAACGTCATAATGATTTATAATTGCCGTAGTGGACCTATGGATCGTTTTGTTATTATCTTGCTGTTCTTATTCTTGCACTTGTTCTTGTTATTGGAATTTTTCTTCCTATCTTCATGAAAAAAATCACCTTTCTCTTTAATTACAGTACCAATTACTTTGAAATTTTCAGTGAGATCTTACTTTTATTCATTCCTAAAATTTCTATGAAACTAATACAGGTACTGGTAATTCACCGTGGCCGTTCAGGCTTGTTCAGGAAACTGTATGATTTTTGGGGAATTTATGATAAAACATTTCTTTGTGGATTTTGTGTCCATATATTTGAGAATTGCTCTCTCGTTAGTGATATAATATGTCTGAATATTTATAGTTAACAAATATTTCGTCGTTTATCAGGTCTCTTTGTACATGTAGTTCTGTTCAGTAGAAGGTAAACTTGAATTTAACAATTTTTATTGAATAGTATTTCTATGAGAACCCCACGGGATGGGGACAGGCATAAATCACAATGGGATGGGACAGAAAAAAAGGTCCCATGGACAAGCCTGTTTATTAGGCCCGAAACCAGCTGCAAAAGGCTATTTTATTCATTACCAAAATCCATTACAGTCTTAACCAAATAGAACTGAGATTTCCCTTCTCAATCGTGTTAACTTTGTAGTAAATTGATCATCGAAGTTCTTATAATAAATGAGATGGTTAAATTTTGATATTTAAAAAAAAGGCGTGAAATAGCCAACAAACAAATGGAATGTAGTTAACTTTAAACCATATGCCAATAAATAACTATTAATAAAACTACTTTTTATTCAAGAAACAAATACAAATAATAGTAAGATGTTTTAGACTTTCATAACATAAAATAGTCATTTCCCATCAATGAGCTCAAATGAAATTTGAAAAAATAGACTGAAGGACTTTTTGACAGCTGATAATTTGCAAGTGATTGGCACAACAATCAAGCTTTACAGTACAAATTTTCAACAGTATACCGATGGTCTTTAAATATGAAAAAAAAACTTTGCTGACCAGCAGATCATTAAATGCGATCGTCAAACCGCAATACGGTCCGCATTTTTTTTTATTTTTAGTGACGTCATCACTCAAACTCTGAAAACCTATCATATATAGCCCACAGATTTTTTTGAAATGAATAAAAGCGATAGCCTTCTAGCCACAAAAAAGAACAACAACAATAATAACAACAACCACAAAAATAATAACACTAACAACAACAATTTAACAAAACAATCCAAAGGTCCACTTCGTCTTCGTGTAATAATAAATCAATAGATAGCAATTCGGTATAGAAACTTCTAATTTGCATTTGGAAAATGAAACCGTTACGGTTTCATTTGCAGTGATTTGAATACACAGGATAAGGAAACGTATAATCAGATTTGGCAGAAGAGATTCCAACTAATATCGAACAAAGAAATATTTCTAAGGTGAATTATGAAGGATGTAATGAATCATTGCTTTCCTCCGCACAGTGTATCGACATAAAGCATACAATACTGCGAAAATCAACGGTATGGGGCACTGTTATAATACGCTTGCCACCGTACCTTCGATTAGCCTGCGCAGGTTGGCCCGTTAGAATTCCGCTGTTCAACGCCATTGCGCCATTGACCAATTCGAACTAAAAATCCTATACCAACATATTATACAATATTTACAAATAAATAATTACAAAATCAAATCAATTACAATAAGTAACTAATCTTAAATAGTTCTGCCCGTAGAAGAAACAATTTCGATAACAGTTTCAATAATGTAAATGTTATTGAGAACTTGTTCCAAAGTCAGTTTCAATTCAAGTTTTATGGCTTTGCGAGTGACTGGAGGTCATGAATCATGATTATATTGCTGACAATGCCGTAGGTAGTGGGCTACGGTCTCAGGTACAAAACACCGTTTGCAGTATCCGATACATCGTTAACGATTCATGATTTTTTTTTCTATAATCACCAACAGTGTATATTGGATGCTGTATTTATCAATTAGCTCAAAAGAAGTATAGAATGTATTACGAGAAATAAAAGGTCCATGTTAAAATATAAAAATTTTCCTACTATATCTTAACTTTCTATTGTACCATGTGGATTGATTAGGTATATGTATATTTGTAACAATATTTTTTAAGATACACTAGTAGAATAACATGTCTCTGATAGTGATAAATGGATTGATTTTCATTAAACGGGAGTTCCAGAATAAATTCTCCTTTAACAAGGATGTGAGGACCTCCAGACGTATGTGCACCAAGATGACGTACAACCTGAACCCTAACCAGGTACACATAGTATGTTCAGGTTGTGTGCCATTTTGGTGCACATACTTCGGGAGCGCCGGATGTGAAATATAGATTCTTTAAATATTTAAGTTCAGCAAGTTTCCACTTTCCAAACTTTGGTATTACCTATTGAAAAAAAAACACCCATTTTTTTGTTCTATTGTAAAGTTATAACATCAATCATGTCTATCCTATGATTCCCATCCAACATTATTGAAAATGATATAAGGCACTAAAGGCATATTTAATGACATTATCTCTCTGGCATGAAAATAGGTAAATAAGAAGTTTCCGCTGCTGCACCATCTCGACCTCGGACGCTCTTCCTGAAGACCGACGAAGACATGGATTTCCCGAAGATGATGGACGTCCTCCGGAACAACACCACAACAAGTAGGTTCTGCGATCGGGTGAAAGGGCTGTTCGAAGGCCGCAGAGGGATCTGGATCCTCACCTTTGCGCCAACGGACAGCCCGAATTCTAGCTGCAGAGAGAGTTTTCTTTCTTCTACTGGTGGCCTGATACAAACGGCTAAGAGTAACATCACTGTGACACTACCAAGTGAAGCTCCTGTCCGGATCTCTATACGGGGAATTCCGGCGGAAACTCCATACGACATGGCGGTAACCAAGATCAACAAGCTGGGCTGTGGAACGGTACGAAATGCAGTCCAAAATTGGTATCGTGGGACCGACGTCTACAACGGGCACACGTCATTCCTAATGGACGGTTTTAAAAAAGACCGTCTGCCGGAATACGTGGTTATCAATGGTGAAAGCTGCAAGACCTTCCTCCCAAGAGAGTTATACACTCCGACGTGTGGTAAGTGCCTAACCACCGGCCATGTATACAGTGAATGCAAGAACGAAGCCGTCTGTAAGTATTGTAAAACACCGGGTCACTTACTAAGAGAATGTCAAATACGGAAGCGTGATCCAGTCATCACCAACCCCGTGACAGGATGGAACATGCCTCCGCAGAAAAGAAAACCCCTGCGAAAAGATACGCAACAACAACGTCAGAATAGCGTGCAACCTGCTGAAACATCAGAGCAGAGCCAGAATGACGAGCAACCTGCCGAAACAACAGAGCAGAGCCAAAATGACGTGCAACCTGCCGAAACAACAGAGCAGAGCCAGAATGATGCACAACCTGCTGAAACAACCGACAAGGTAAGTGATTTTTCTACCTCCGACTCGGAGTTAAACTGCCTAAGAGAAATTAAAAACTGGTCTGAATGTGAGGACGTCGGGACTGTAGTAAGTCCACTCAAAACTCGATCTCCACAATTGCCAAGACCACCCAGGCAAATCTACAGATTGAAGGAGTCGTCAACTATTGGAAACACGCCATTCCATCCCCTTCCAAAGGGCAATCCTTACATCAAAGTAAGGATTGATAACTTTGAGTCTTGCGACACCACGTCTTCGTCGGTCTTCGAAACAACACCCGAAGCAACGACATCTGCACCAGCGAACCTTGAGTCGAATCTACCGCCGCCAATTGTGGATCTTACAGAGGAAAATAACAAAAGAACCAGAAAGGACACAACAACTTCCACAGAATCCTCAACATCCGAATCAATCGTCAAAAAAAAATACGGTAAAAAGAAAAGGTAACTACCATGTTTCGGCCCCAGGTAATCAAATTCCTCTGATGTCTCTCATTTCGGTTCTTTGGACATGCCATATTTCAATTCGGCTTCTCAAACCTCTTGTATATAAAACGCCCAGTTGCCGGCGTAAAACCTCAACTCAGTAAATACCATCTCACATATAGCGGATGTGATGACAGGAAGCCCACCACTCTACGTGGTATACAAAATGGTGATCTTTATTACAAAGAGAATTGATCCATAAACTTCCGTCGGCATAGTCTGGGTATGAAGGCATTTGGGCTGGATTCCAGACTTGTCGTTCTGATCCGTGAAAGCAAAAAAAAAACAAAAAAAAAGGTGGTCCAAGATTGTCGGCCTCGCGAGCCACACTATTATTTTTGTTTTGTCCGCGGGCCACAATAGTGCCAAGAATAGGTAAACCGTGCAATACAAAACAAACAGTTTTATTGTCCAAACACATTGATCATAATTCGTCATTTATCAAGCTAAAACATGCAAAAACAGCCAAAAAACTCACTAAAACGTGCAAAAATCTTACTATATCTATATTTAGTGTAAGATTCCAAACTCTTCATAACGGAGAAAGTGCCCTAAGGAAAAAATGCCGTTTTAGATTGTCACTGACAAAACTCGCAGACATATTAAGCAAGCATTGTAGTATTTCCACTCCCATATTCAGTCAAAAATATGTTTGAATTAGTCAGCCTTATTTTCAAGTCATTTTTAAAAAATAACTTACAAATACCCGCAGAATGATTGATTAGTGAATTTTATTAAGTTTGAGATACAGGAGGGTAATTACTATATTTTCTGACATTTGCCATAGACAGCTTAGTCTGGTTGCAAAAAAAAACAGCAGGAATTATATTGTTCGGCCATTACATTATTATTTAGTTATCAGGCATAGCCAACCCATGCCAATAGATTCTTCATTCAACTTTTAGTTTTCTATGAAGCATATTTTGTTGGCATATATCTCCGACCAAAAATGAAAAGCCAGTTGATAATTTAGACTAACTAATCACAATATTCATCTTCGCTAATTGCCTCAGCTAGTCATAACACGAATCAATTCAGTGATATTAGTGATGTATCAATGTGTCAAAGAGTTTTCTGGTTATTTTTATGACAAACCAACACCAAATTGTTTTTTGTTTACCCTCGTGCAAATGCGACGCGGGCCACATATATTGAAGCGGCGGGCCACAAGTGGCCCGTGGGCCTGGGTTTGGACCACCCTGGTGTAGAAGCTCTTTTTTTTAATGATTTCATAAAAATAAAATCCAAAACAAGCATATCATATTACAAATGTACAACATATTCACATATGAACGATTCGTGATAAAACATGTTCACCAACAATACTTCTATAGCTACACCTAGGTCCGGGTCTCGTCGACCGTTGATTGGTCGAGTGACGTGTTAACGTGTTTCGATTTTGGCGATGTTTACTAGATTGCACTCGACTGGGGATCTCTAGCGACACGCATCTAAACTGCAACAGCAAGCTTCTGCTTCAAACTAAGTTAAGTCTTTTACTGTCATACCTACGTTTACTGGAACTTCTATATCGATTTTACCGTTATCGTTTTAATGGAAGAATATAATAAACAACCATGACAGCCCATATGCAAACTTGTCAATTATCATTTAGCAGAGGCAGAGTTTACAACGCCAACTACAGAATTCAAAGATCCAATGCTCGAACGGCTTGCTGGTATCGTCAACGTTATGGAAATCTATCACGTAACTGCGTCCAGCCCTCCTTGACCATGCACACGAAAACTGTCAAGACTATGTACAAATATTTACAGACGGTTCTGATAATCCATTTGTTGGGTCTAGGTGTGCTGCATATTATGGGCCTCAAGCGAAAGTAGAGTAAATTGAAATCGTTTCGTCTCTTCACATACATCGGAGCTATACGCCGAGTTGTACGAGTTATCTAAGATGGATTGCCACAACAATACCAGAACGCGTATTGATAATAACGCCATAACGGATTGTCTCAATGCCTTTTCATCGCTTCTCAACTATTCCGCATTTAAAAACAAGTTAGTAGCGACAAATGCTTATTTGTTCCAGCCTAAATTTTGATCAACTTTTTCATGTTTTTTTTATTTTCCCCTATGAAGTAATGACAAAATGAATATATCTCCATTAATCTATAACAATTGATATTAGTTGGCTAATTTGCAAAATTCATATGATATTTATCACTTGAAACTCTCCTCCCCAATCCGTAAAATTAGATGTTAGAACCTTGGGTGTCGCTGCTCGATAACCAGTTTTGGTTTCCGGCGGCTTCCAAACATCCCTATAGTCACCACCTCACGTAGGAATTGTTGGAAACGAAATAGTGGATAATCTGGCGAAAGCAGCAATCAACACACCTTCCCCACTGACGCAATGCTCCCACTTTCCGCCTCAGAAGCAAAATCTTATTATAATACATTGGCTCGAGAAAATGGAATACGGAATATATATGTAAATAGCGATTCAGCAAGCTAATGCTTTTTATCCTATTGTAATCGATTTGTTTCAGTCTTATAAGTTTGGAGTATTCATTATTCCACCAATGGGTTTATGGCTTTAAATATGGTTTCGTTTTGAGCATAGACATTAGCTACCGTAACAAGCGAATTTCTCACAAAACTCTTCAACGTCTTTAGATATTATTCCATCTGACATATAAGTATTGAAAAGTTGGCTAAATTTATTCCAGTTCTGTCTTTTGAATGTCCAAATTGGTTTGAATTGATCTGGTATTTACATCCTAATATCAACAGATGTTGTAATTACGTAATTATTGATCGCTTCCGATTAGTCCGTCTGATACATGAGTGACGCACCCAGGTGCAATATTAGCACTGGCGAGTGAGAGTTCTGATAGCGAACTCAAATTATTAACATTGAGATGGATATTCAATCATGTTGGACAATTATTCAGAACGACATAAGAATGAAGGTCAATCAACTTAGTAACCATATTTATAAAGTGCTTCTCTGTATATATATCACCACACCACGTTGTAGATAGAAGCCTTTCAAAAAAATTACTAGTGGTAGCATGGGGTGTGATATTCAAGAAAACAATTTTTTTTTTTTCCTTTTGCTAACTACTGCCATGGGGAGAGGTAAATTTTTCATGTACCCTATTTGACCCTCATTGCAGTCACGGAAAATGACACAATATCTCTAAAATGCTTGTATTATAAAAAAAAATCTTCTCTTAGGCAGCAATGTCAAGCGAAACATGTATTAAGTATAAAATAAACAATCATGACCATTAAAAACCACTTTTGTACATTTTGTCTTGCCTAAAATGTCCAAACAAGATTCAAAAGTAATTGAAAATATTTCAAAACGATATTTTCAGCAATACGTTGATCGAAAATAATCTAAAATTGATAATGCAATACGATTTGAATATCAGAAATTAGAAGAAATTGAAAATAATAATCACGAAGTGAATTCTATTGATGAAATTTCCCAAAACAGTTTTGATATACACCACATTTTGCACGCTTTATATACTGATTTTCATCTAACATCCCATTTTTTCGTTACGCATTCTATTGGCTCAAACAAGAGGTCAATGCCCGAATTTATCGAAATGAGCATCCAGCGATGGAAGAGGACTAATGGCAGCTCTTTTTGGTGTTTATAGGTGATCACTATCAATACTTGGTCGACCACGCCGAAATCCCAATTTGGCCCCCATGCACGGACATGTATCGATTTTATTGCGGAAATCTCTTATTGGAAGCGGTGGCAATTCAGCAACTAGTCTACTTGCTTAGAAGAGGAATTTGGCTGAATTTTAACAATCAAAATTCTGAAACTGATTATAATCATTATCAATGGCTATAGGACAAGACCCAGATTTTTTTGATGGCTGAATTCTAGAATAACTGAGTAATTAAGTCATGTACTTCGAAATTTTGTCTTAACAACCCACGAATGGCATTGATCGATATAAGAATGTTAATAATATCAACATTTGCAAAAATTGTATTCCGTGGTATTATATCTTATTATTTGACAACAAAAATGTGTTTATTACACAGTCAATGTACTGATGCCTGTTTACCGTGAATTACCTCAGCTTAGACGTTGCTCTGACGGTATTTAAACAAATATAAATGTGAGTGAATAATCTTACAGTTGACTTCATAATAAAGTCCTGTTGGCAGCTACTGGGAATTTTACCGTATGAAGCGAGAAGGGAAGATGAGATTGTATGTAGGTGAGGAGTTACTAAGTATACAAAAGTTCAAAAATATGTATAAATACGGTTTGTGTTTGCGTTGTTCAACATAGTAATCTTTCGAATCATAATATGAGATGGAAAATGTGAATTACAACATGCTTTGTCTGCAACGTCTTTTACATTTCTCATCCACGATAATAAGATCCTGTTGTACAAGCTGACAATTTTCACACGAATCGCCTTGCAATGTGTTCTACATCCTCAGTTTTACGTCACATTATATTATTATTTGGTATAGTAGATTTTTTGATCTGCTAATTATAGTTTGTTCTGTCATTTTCTGTTACCCTAAAGTAGGGATCGCGTTATAGAAAATCGATTTTCTCTTTGTTTCCCGAAAAAATAACATTAGTAACCATTTTTTTCTAGCCTACTGAATTTCAGATACCGTTAGAATCAGCACTGGAAATGTATTTTTTAATACTGTCAGAGTTCGCGTTTCCATTTCCCAATGGTTGGAGCAAATAGAGAAATAATGATGAATAATGTTACTGACTGCTAATAGTTTCAGTCTGTATTAGGATTTGTATCATGCAAAATAAATATGATAATTAAGTCCGAAATTTGGTGTTCGATCAATTATTTTGTCTCGAGCTGTGACAATTTCTATCATGGAGGGGGCAGAATGGAGCGTTGTACTTGGTGTTCTTTTGGCTTGAAAAAATGTTTTTGAATTAGGTTTCATCTCATATCAGCTTCAAGCTGTAATTTGAACATCCGAAAGCCTATATTAACTTATAGAGTGTATAGTTTTAAAACGATGCATTTGATTTGTCAAATACCCCCATTGACTTTTGTTTGGTAAGTATATTTGTTTAATGGCTAAACAACAAACAGTGTTGCTAATGCTTTAACGTCGCCAACATGGAGTGCTGTATAGAGCCGCGCTGTATTCTTGGTGTGATATACTTTAGGAAAATGAATGTTATCTTTTGTAGCGAATGTTGGAATTTAATGTCATTTAAACCTTTGTGTTATTAGTATTTTAAATGAATAGAAACTAGGTTATTTCAGCATAATCCCTAATGTTGATTCATTCGCGAAGAGACGTTATGCAGTGCCGCACTGTATGTTGAAAAAATTGAATTCCTGCCTCTACGAGAATTAGGAATAATAGTGTTTTTCATGTTTCTTGAGCACCGGTTCTGATTTGAGATTGCAACAATACACTTGTATTATGGTTTCAGTGCATATTTATTTATATTTGTATTTGGATCAATTCAATTTGAAATGTTGAATGATAATGTGTATGATATTAAATTTTGCGTTCATAAAAACAAACATGCATTTGACGTCTTTGACCAAAAATTTTCTGGTTAGTTTGGTCATATCAGCATGGTTATCATATACCACAACAGGCATTTTGTTTGTCCCAGTGCGCGTCATATAAATATGGTTTTGAATATAGTAACATTCGTACAACTTTGATACATATTTGATAACATATATATGTTAAGAGAAAGAATTTCATCTGTATTGCATGAACCATTGTATGCGTGAGAGATTTTCATTAAAGTGAAAGTGATTTCAAAGAATAAACGGGGATCCCGAAGTATGCGAACCAAGATGGCGGACATCGGAATGTAATATGTGTACTAGGTTAGGGTTAGGCCATAATTTTAGCTATAAATACTACGGGAGGCTCTTGGCTAGTTTTCGAACTGATAATAGGACTAAAATAAGGAAAATTGGAAAAAAATTATCGCCTAATCCTAACCTGTTACCAAGGTTACGTTCCGCTGTCCGCCATCTTGGTTCGCATACTTCGGGAGCATCGAATAAACATCATACAAGGAACACCCAATTTTGATGGGTAAATACACCGACCACTCACATTTTTTCATGTAATTAAAAATGATTTATCCAAATAGTTACTGTGAAGTTGCATAAACCAACACAGAAGAGAAAGAATATACCTCATAAGACCACTGGCTTTCCATGAACCGAAAACAAACCTGTCCATATTTTTCGAAATCTGTGTAAATATTAATAAAAGCGCTTAAGTGAACACGGACAGCAAATATATTTGATGCTACCTAATATTATTACAGTGCTGAAGTTTTGACATGCTGCGAAAGGGCGAACTAATACTAATGCGTCCTGTACCGTTGTTTTGGGCGATCGCTTTTCCGTTCCGTTATATTAATCTAAACGTAATGGTTGATAGACTTCAGGTTCTGAAAATTTTGATCTTAATTTTGACAATTAAAAAGCAGCTCTTGCATCATTTGGAGGATTTTTCCATATATGCCGTCGTCAGCGTGATAGCAAATGTCCCGAATTAGAACGTCCACAAAATCGTTGATCAACGTTGGTTTGAAGTTAAGTTATTTAAAGTGAAAGGACAAGTTATGTATTAGATTCACGTACTTCACTCAAATCCCTGCACTGTACTGCCATCTGTACTATAATATTCACACTGTACTTGGTATAGATGAGTAATAGAAAAGCTATTGCACTTTAATTATTTATCTTTGGTGTTGAAAAAACTTTCCATATAAAGAACACCTATTGATAGTGTAATATTATTTGCAAACGAAATTTTCGAGCAACCGACACACAATGAATTCGTTTCAGCGTCATAGAGTTTTGCCTTCGACATCGAATGACAAATCCCCTGAAGTGGAATCAAAATATTTCTGCCAAGTTTCAGATAATGAGGTATATTTGTATATTCATTGATTTTAGTAATTGGTGAATTCGTTATAAAAAATAATTGTAAGCACTATATTTTAGCTACAACTATAGATTACATCATGAAATTCAAGATGACCGCCATATGTGAAAATCTTCCTGTTTAAGGAATAATATGTTCGATCAGCTTCGATATCAACAACGTTCAACGTAATAAATGCCCTGGTGATTTTAAATGCGTAATCTTTTACTGTGATTTCTGCATAATTTAGGTTTTTCGAGTTTGTTTCTAATTTTGTCTTTGCTAAGTGCGCTGATTGTACTTTGTTAGGCAAATTGCGGCACCGTTCCCGTCCGTCAAGATACGCAGAGTCCAATCATTTCGTGTCACGAGAAAGAATAATAAAAATCCTTACAAATGGCAACTAAGAAGTTGGGAACTTTTGGGTTTTAGGTGACTGTCGCCATATTTGTAATCTATGCAACTGAACAATCGTTAACACTGTGAACTGATTGATTGACTTGTCGTATGTCACCATAAAGTTTTGTCTGCATTCCGCAAATGAGACTTTGTTAAAATCTGTCGTCGATGCTCAACTTTAACTTAAAATAACACAGTTTCACAAAAATATTATCCGTTATACGTTTTATTCTGTATATAAACGAATAAAATACATATATTTTCTAATTTTAAGAACATAATTCATTTTTTTTTGACGCTGTGATACTGGCGGTATATATAGTGAAGGGCATTTTGTTACTTTGCATCTAATGAATTTGTTTTACTATTTTTTTTTTCAGAATAAAATGGTTAACGTTATGAAGATTTAATAGTTATTGTGTAATTCAATTATTGTTAATCTAGCGAAGTTGTTACCATTTCAATACTTTTTTCGTGATGGTGGTGGTAGGCAACATTCAAGTTTGTAATTCATAATACTGTTATGAGTTATACGATACACCAACTAGTAAAATAATTTTATATCTGAATAAATATTTGTTTTCCTCGATATTTTATTTAAGCAACAACAACGGTGGCCTGATTTTTTCCTTCAACGTATGGGATTGCACATTCATTCTTCAATGTCATGACAGGAGATTGAAGACCATTTTCAATCAATGCTTCAGAAATCAACTGAAGTTGATCAACATTGATTTGAGGGGTTTTCGCTTTCACAAAAGCGCTCCAATCTAAATGAAATAAAATCAACTTAAGAATCTCTAAAAAAGAGAAGGATTTGCTGAAAGGTGGCGGTTATCAAACTATTTGAAATATAAATATCGAGATTTAATTTTTTAATGGACATGATATATATTGTTAACCATGTGATTTCAAAATAAGAATAAAATGTCGATACCTGATTCACGACGATAGACTAATATGAAAAAGTTCTCATAATCAGTGAGAAAGCTGACTCCTGCTGACATGTGATCCAGCACACCTTTTTTTATCTCTATGAAAAAAAACGTTATGATACAATAAATACAAAACAAAAACAACAAAAAGTCAGAAACTTTATGCATATGACAGTGACATTTTTGTGACAAAAAATATTTAAGTTATACGAAAACTTCTTTAAAATATAAACCTAGTAAAGCTTTTTAAGACGTTTATGTACATGTGATACTTGTTTGTTTTGGGTGTCGAATATGATTCCAACTATGCGCTATATTCACCTTCATCAGGGTTCTGAACATGTTTTCCTTCTTCATATTCCGTGAATATTTGAGTGAAAAATGATTCTAAATTGGATATAGTAATGAATTATAGCATTGAAAGTTTCATGCTTCCGGTATATGAGCGTTCCAACAAACCAGTAGCAAATTTATTCGAATATCCTAAATTTTATTTGCTCTCACCGTCCTTTGAATTTAATAGATATTTTCCCGTTTGTTCTTGTCTCACGTAATAAATTTTGTTGATGTATGATTTTCTAAAATTATAACTGTTTTAGTCATTTTTAGTTTTTTAAACTAGAAAATTTTCAAATTTGTTTCGAAATTGTGTCAGTCAACTCTTCATAATATGGATACTCACGCCGCCACGTAGTTTTCAATTGTCGCCGTAATAGTATTTTCGGTTTCAGTAAAGTTAATAAACTTCCAACATCCCATGGGATATATTGGAGATGGAACATCAATAACGTCGTAAAGCGGGAGCATGTCCTGAACCTATAAAAAACAAATTTTTGCTTAGTTATCGAAAAATTACATTTGTCGTGTACGAAATAAAAGCAGAATCCATGCAACTGAAAGTGCAACTAAAAAGTTTTTAGCCATTTCATCAAAGCACTGACGTCGCACATGTTTGATTGAGATGAATAAATATAAGAGTTCAGAACTTACCTTGGTCCAGTCGATATCTATATGTGCTCGTGGCGCGATGCATGATTTACTTTCCACTTTACTGGGTATTGCTACTGCAAGTACGGCAATTGATATCGCCAGCAGGATAGTCATTTTAGGTTTGACAGGAATATTTCCTATAGGAGTATCGGTCGCTGTTGCAAACTCGAATGATAATTCTAGACTATGCTGTTGCATTTAAAATGAAAGTTGTTTGTATTTTTGCATTCATTCTATCGATCGTTCTGACATCACTTCCAGATAGGGTTTTGTTTTTTATCAATTCTAAAAAAACATCGTGTTTTAAAACAAGGCCTAAATTTTTTTCTGTATTTTTTGTATTTTTTATTGAAATACCCCTTGCATCGCCGCGAAACTACGCCAAAACGTTTCATTCTGGCAGCTGCACACGCAGCCGGAATTATAATTCAAAAAATGTAAGTAAAAATTATTATTTGGACTTTTATGTTACTTCTATTGCGTAAATTTATCGCCACTTTTGTATCTCCACCAAAGTCATAAAATTTTGACCGGAATTTTTATCAGAGATATCAGAGAGACGTTTTGAGTAAGAAAAATCATGAAACTTAGCCTACTACAAAAGCAATTAGATCAAGGGCAGCCTTCGGCAAAACGAGTGGGTTGAGGTAATGAAGAATATGGTTACATCGGCGGCAATCTACTGATATATATAAACGATGAGACGCAACCCTAGCATAACCTATGCTAATTGTAAGAGTCGACTGATGCAAAGACGCCACAACTAATATTTTATGACGCTATAATATGGATTTCAAGTTCATGTATTGGCATTTTGGCATAATTTGGGATTGTCGAAATGAGAATACTTTTCATTTTAAGAGACGTGCATAGCAATCACATATTTTAATCACGACAATTAAGCTCGTCGAGAGTGCAGACTAAAAAATGTTTACATTGAAAGCATTTTGCAGAAATCAATATTCCATCTTCTGTTGTGAAATAAGTATTTTTTTAAAAAGTCAGTTCAACCTCGTCCGCTCCAAGAAGCAGTTTTGAAGTCTACTCACACCATATTATCAGCATATGAATACACTTAAAATACTATGAATTTGCCGCGTAAATAACCAACATGCAATCAAATTATATCGCTTACCGACTGTTTTCAGCCAAGGTCAACAATAAATCGAATCTTTTAGGTAACTGCAGAACAGTGAAATAAACACGAACAAATAAGGAATACAGCAACAGTACTGAACCCCACAGAATTAATTGTGGCAATAAATATAATACCAAGAGTATTACATCCAAATAAGACTACACGTATGACGCAATGAAATAGAGAAAACTCACCAAGAATATTTCACAAAACAATCAAAATGCAGGACAGATTCACAAACTGCAGTTCAATAATCCAGAGTTCAATGCAGCGCCACAACTAATATTTTATGACGCTATAATATGGATTTCAAGTTCATGTATTGGCATTTTGGCATAATTTGGGATTGTCGAAATGGGAATACTTTTCATTTTAAGAGACGTGCATAGCAATCACATATTTTAATCACGACAATTACGCTCGTCGAGAGTGCAGACTAAAAAATGTTTACATTGAAAGCATTTTGCAGAAATCAATATTCCATCTTCTGTTGTGAAATAAGTATTTTTTTAAAAAGTCAGTTCAACCTCGTCCGCTCCAAGAAGCAGTTTTGAAGTCTACTCACACCATATTATCAGCATATGAATACACTTAAAATACTATGAATTTGCCGCGTAAATAACCAACATGCAATCAAATTATATCGCTTACCGACTGTTTTCAGCCAAGGTCAACAATAAATCGAATCTTTTAGGTAACTGCAGAACAGTGAAATAAACACGAACAAATAAGGAATACAGCAACAGTACTGAACCCCACAGAATTAATTGTGGCAATAAATATAATACCAAGAGTATTACATCCAAATAAGACTACACGTATGACGCAATGAAATAGAGAAAACTCACCAAGAATATTTCACAAAACAATCAAAATGCAGGACAGATTCACAAACTGGAGTTCAATAATCCAGAGTTCAATGCAGCAAATATATTAAACTATCAATAAGTTAAACGAGAATATCGGTCGGAGACCGAAGACATATCGATCGAATTATGCGCAATTACTCCATAGTGACACCGTGTGTCCCGTCACCTATTAATTAATATCTCGCTAATTATACGACATAATTCATCCAAAATCAATCGGCTTTTGGTCCGAGATATGATGAATGCACATGCAAAATTTAGAGAAAATTCAACTTCGCTTTCGTGAGATATCGAGTAACATACGAAAGAAAGTGTCTAACAGACAAACACACAAACAGACCAACATACTTACCGATCTTAAGATCGATAAGTAATAAGCATGTAAGAAAGAAAGAATTCATAATTAGCCCACTGTAATTAATATGATACAGCCCATCCTAATACTAAATACCGTATAAAAACGCATTGCAACAGCAAACTAGCTGTGCACATTTTACAATTTCGGCCCTAACGCGAGGCGATACAATAACGATGTAAACACGCAAATTTCACTAGACAGACCCCTTCTCGGCTCGGTCTAGAGATAATGAAAAAAAACATATATGCGAGGAATGCAAGTTTGTGACGTTACCAAAAACGGAAAGGTGCAACACGTTCAGCTATAAAGAAATAGACACTATTGGCGCTGGAGATCCAACAACCTGAATGCTTTACCCTGGAAACCAATTCTTGGAAGACACGTGCTCGAAAACGCAGCTAACTAGACATATCCAAATTATATATAAATATTTGAGCAAAGCAACTTAAAATAGTAAAGATGAAAAGCGCAATAATAACAAAATTTTGCTATAAAATAATTAATAATAAAACAATAAAACAATTTTGCGATTGGCCATCACAGCATAATTCTTATCAACGTGCGAAACCGTAGTGAGTTCAGCGAAGCAACACATTATCATAGGGAACCTTACTTGAGCCAAAACGCATGGTGAATGAGAAGCAGTTCTAGGAAGCTTTTGCATGGTGGTAAAATTAACAATCGTGATTTCTTTCGCAAAGTTAACAGCGTATTTTTCACCTAATTTCCGTGCAATCTAGTTTCTTTCTAGTTTGTTGAGCAAACTGCGGCCAGTAATTCTCCTTTTTCCCCCACAATTGCATTAATAGTTCTTCACTTGTTCTGCACTTTTCCAACTTATCTCACTCATGTTCTTGATTGAATAGAACTTGCCTTGCATGTCTCACACTTTCTCTGTTTGTCCAATATACCATTAGTAACCAGTTTTTATTACCCAGCAGAATTTCAGATATCGCGAGAATCTGTATTAGAATTTGTATCGTGCAAAATAAATATGATAACCAAGTCCGAAATTTGGTGTTCGATCAATTATTTTGTCTCGAGCTGTGACAATCTATCATGGAGCACTGCTAATTGGGATTCAAAGAATGGAGCGTTGTACTTGGTGTTCTTTTGGCTTGAAAAAATGTTTTCGAATTAGTTTTTTATATCATATAAACTTCAAGCTGTAAATTGAACAACTGAAAGACTATTTAACTTATCGAGTCTATGGTTTTAAAACGATGCATTTGATTTGTCAAATACCCCATTGGATTTTGTTTGGTAAATATATTTGTTTAATGACTAAACAACAAACATTGTTGCTAATGCTTTAACGTCGCTAACAGGGAGTGCTGTATAGAGGCGCGCTGTATTCTTGGTATGGTTACTTTAGGAAAATGAATGTTTTCTTTTGTAGCAAATGTTGCAATTTAATGTCATTTGAACCTTTGTGTTATTAGTATTTTAAATGAATAGAAACTAGGTTATTTTAGCATGTTTCCCTGATATTGATTTATTCGCAAAAAGACGTTATGCGATGCGCGCTGTATTCTTGGGATGGTTTCATTAGAATAATGAATGTTTTGCATTGCAGCGAATGTTGTTGAATTTTATTGTCATTTAAACCTTTGTGTTATTTGTATTTTAAATGAATAAAAACTAGGTTATTTTAGCCTGTTTCCCTAATGTTGATTTGTTCGCGATAAGACGTTATGTAGTGCCGCACTGTATGTTGAGAAAATTGAATTCCTGCCTCTACGAAAATTAGGAATAATAGTGTTTTTCATGTTCCTTGAGTTCCAGTTCTAATTTGGGATTGCAGCAATACACTTGTATTATGGTTTCAGTGTATATTTCATTCTATCTGTATTTGGATCAATTCAATTCGATTGTGAAACGTTACATTATACGAACATTGGGCAACACTCTCTCTCTCTGTGCTTATTTGACCTCTAAATGGGTCAGTGTGGGTTTACTCCTCTAAAGTACCTTTAATAGTATTGGGGAAAGAACACGCAAAAAATAGGGCCCAACTCTTCCTAAATTCTAGCAAGAAATGTTCAATGATAATGTGTATGATAATAAATTTTGCGTTCATAAAAACAAATATGCATTTGACGTCTTTGACCAAAAATTTTCTGGTTAGTTTGGTCATATCAGCATGGTTATCATATACCACAACAGGCATTTTGTTTGTCCCAGTGCGCGTCATATAAATATGGTTTTGAATATAGTAACATTCGTACAACTTTGATAACATATATATGTTAAGAGAAAGTATTTTATCTGTATTGCATGAACCATTGTATGCGTGAGAGATTTTTATTAAAGTGAAAGTGATTTCAAAGAATAAACATCATACGAGGAAGGAGGAACACCCAATTTTGATGGGTAAATACACCGACCACTCACATTTTTTCATGTAATTAAAATGATTTATTCAAATATTTACTGTGAAAACCTTTCAATATTTTTCGAAATCTGTGTAAACATTAATAGAAGCGCTTAAGTGAACACGGGCAGCAAAGATATTCGATGCTACTTAATATTATTACAGTGCTGAAGTTTTGACATGCTGCGAAAGGGTGAACTAATACTAATGCGTCCTGTACCGTTGTTTTGGGCGACCGCTTTTCCGTTCCGTTATATTAATCTAAACGTAATGGTTGATAGACTTCGGGCATTTGAAAGATTTTTCCATATATGTCGTCGTCAGCGTGATAGCAAATGTCCCGAATTAGAACGTCCACAAAATCGTTGATCAACGTTGGTTTGAAGTTAAGTTATTTAAAGTAAAACGGCAAGTTATGTATTAGATTCACGTACTTCACTCGAATCTCTGTCCTGTACTGCCATCTGAACTATAATATTTACACTGTGCTTGCACTGCTTGGTATGGATGAGTATTAGAAAAGCTATTGCACCTTGATTATTTATCTTTGGTGTTGAAAAAACTTTACATATAAAGGAACACCTATTGATACTGTAATATTATTTGCAAACGAAATTTTCGAGCAACCGACACACAATGAATTCGTTTCAGCGTCATAGAGTTTTGCCTTCGACATCGAATGACAAATCCCCTAAAGTGGAATCAAAATATTTCTGCCAAGCTTCAGATAATGAGGTATATTTGTATATTCATTGATTTTAGTAAATGGTGCAAGATATTAGTTTTTCTGTTTATTGTTCGATATTCCAGAAGATATAACAAGACGTGCTGTTACATACCAACGGTCGTATCCCTTAAGTTTGTAAAATCTGCTTTAAAAATTGCCCAATTTTCATTTTGAGGGTTGAGTATATACCTAGTAAATTTTTCTCTGCTCAGATCAATATATCGCTCGAACTCAAATCACCTTCCCGCTATGTCATCAAAACTCCTCTCTGTTTTGTTCTTGTTATTGACGTGAGTGCTAGCATGGATGCACCAGTCGGAAGTGAAAGCATCACACTTTTTGATAGAGTGAAGGTCAGTTGTTTCTAAAAATGTTACTAAAAATGTGTAAGTAAACCGTAAACTGTAAATAATGCGCTTGCTTCTAATTTAAAGATTTTAAATGGTCGCGTCTGGGGCTATAGGCCATATTTCATTTTATATATGCGTTATTGCGTTGTATAAAACTTAATATTGTATTCAATTACTTTTAAAGTTTATTAAACAAGGATATAGTTTAACACAAAACTGTGTTTTTTTTATAGATGTTTGCTCATATGATGATTCAATACTTATCTAGTGATGACTATTTAGCAATAATTTCTTTTGCTAAAGATGCAACACTTGATATGGGTATAACAAAAATGGATGAGAATGGAAAGGTAATGTACTTTTCATGTAGCGTAATACTCCTTGAGATTTTATCGGGGTAAAAAATTTACATTCTTGGAATAGTGCGATAAAGCGACAAATTTCATTCATAAACATTCCAGCAACTTTGTGAATCCCAAATCTATATATTGACTTGGTCAATTGAAAATAGAAAAATGCATAACGTTTATATACCTATTTAATGTAAAAAAAAATTCTGTTTTGTATGACTAAAAATATTTTGTAGGATTCAGCGAAGAAAACTTTACTGCATCTTCAACTGAGAGGTTTAACGAATTTAGAGTCTGGTTTGACAAAAGCACTCGAGGAAATCCAGAGGTTCGTGCTTTGTACACGAATAATTCAATATATCCCCAGCAAATCACTTTACGACGAACAGGCCATATTTTTTTAGCCTCCGTATTTCAACTAAAATATGTTTCCTTTTCTTCTGCAACCTATTTGACGATATGAGCTGATGTCCGAAGTATTGTGGTTTTAGAAGAATTATTAAACACACTTTCGTACATTTCAGGGCAAAAGAACATGTTTTACAACAGAGCAATATAAGATCCAGTATTATTCTTTTTACTGACGGAGTACCAACTTGCGGAATAATAGACGCCGAAGGAATTATTAGCAAGTACAAATTAATTGAATCGTCAATGCCAGATGTAGGTCGTATTTCGTTGTCAGCGTTTACCATCGGCAATTACAGATCTGAAGTTCTTGCAGAGGTAAATATATTTTTGTATATTTTTCACTAATTATCACATAAAAATATATATAGCTTATTGTATCAGTGAGAATTTCATATATAGATTTGGTACGAAAATCGAAGACGACAGATCAATAAATTGAAATTTAAAATGTTTACTGTAGATTGCATCGAATCTCAGCAATGAAGCATTTTATTGGTTAGACGAAAATCAAGATTTTGAAGTTGAAATGATGATTCCGTTCTTACTAAAGTACGTCACAAGACTCTCTGAGCATTTAGTGAATGACTCTATTTGCGCGGTTTGTGCGGTAAAAGAGAAGATGTAAAAATGTGGCATCGCTTGAATTTTGTTAAAGTTTATAATCTGAAAAGTGAATGACAAATATAAATACTTCGAGTATTTTTCATGGTGGCAATATTCTTGTCACTCGCCCCTCTGACACCATAGGCATATAGTTATGCGATTCTTTTTTAATCGTTATATAAAGCATTATCTAAACATGCAAGAAAGACCTTGACGTAAGATTCCCAATAATGCGGTTCCAAATATAGATTTCAGATTCAAACGTTTTTGATTTCTACAAATAATAGAAAAAAGACACATGTGAGCGATGTTTGTGTAAAGTTACAATCAAATAATGAGGTTTTCTTCAGTCCAACACGAACTTCAAAAGATCACCTGGTAGAGGTGAGAAAATACATTGCATAACGTTTTTAAACCATTGTGGATAAAATGAATTTAGACTTACATCACCAAGGCAAAGGACTAGTTTTGCTGTTGAAAAATTGACAAAAATTCTAAAACATGAAAGAGGGTGAAAATTCGATTTTCAATGGACATGAAATAAAGTGTTGTTACCAATGGTGGCCGACTGGCCAAACTAGCTGCATGTGTTTTCCTCTTTTATATACAATGCCAGTATAATATAAATTAGTTTGAACCTATATCGATCATAAATTTCCCATAAATAATATTAAAATAACGATTCAAAAACGACATATGAAATGACATATTTGATTCGAGCGATTGTAACGTAAATTTTGTAAGTATGAATATCTACCACATCATCTCATTTTTATGAATATTCTATTTCAGGGGCAAACTATGCACAATCTGGAATATTTTTTACATTCTCTTCCGGATGATATGCCAAAAACGATACCGTTACATCTCGAGATTCGATCTGGGGTATTGCTATCGGTACGAGTAAACATATCTATAACTTCATAAATGTACTTTAGTCACAATAAAAAATATTGATTAAAACTATCGAATTAGATCACATCAGCTAAACATGAGTAGTTTGTATATCTAACAAGATCATGTTTTTGCATAGGCCTTTGATTATTGACAATTTATCGCTTGTAGAAAATGACAGGTGTCGTTGACGAAGAAATGGACGAATTTGTGATGCTAAAATCTTCTCGATAGACACTCAAATTGAAACGCAAATAAAAGTTGTCTCTGTTATCTCTGTGTTTCCCGTTTATCAAAACTTTGAATATTTTGTTAAGCTCACTGTGTTGAAGTCTAGGATAACAATACCCCAATTCCTTCGGTATTTGTCACACGGTCAAATCAATTTTTTGTGCAACAGTCCAATACCTTTCGATGAAGAAATTAAAAAAAAAAGAATTAAACATTTTATGCAGATGCTGCACGGACAAATTATTTTGAATGCGCATATTTCTTACTTGGATGAAAACTTAGCAAATGTGGAGTTTCAGGACACTATTACATTCTCCCATTCAACTTTGTATGAAATTATGTTTAAAACTCTTCCTTCGTGTGAAATTCAAGGTAAGAAAATTTTACTTATAATGCGAATGTTATACGATCGATTTTTTCATTTGAGATTTTTGGGTACTTTGAATCACAAATGAAATAATTCCAACAATGTGATTACTCATAACAACCCGATAAAAATTGTTATCAAGAAAAATGCTACATATTTATAGAATACATGCTGTAGTATTTTTTATCCGCAGTGGCCCAAAACCGAACTATATGGAAACAACATCGTTTATGAAATATAGTGGTATGTAAATTAATTTGGGCATATAAATAAAAAAATGTGGCCAATTATTTTCGATCAACTCAAACGATATTCGTACCGGTTTTAAATCTGCTGGGAAGCTCGTTATTTGATCCAGTACGAAATCTAATATTTAGTTTACATACCGATATCGGCGCAGTCGAGCAGATATATAATTCGTGAAAATTTATAAAATCTACACGGTATTTGGCATTTACGTTAAAAGGCAACGAGTTTACTGAACATTATAATACAGCAATACTATATATATGTATTCGTTAATTACACATTGTTTTTATTGAAAATTGTTCTCTTTTGTCATTGAAGCAATCGGGTCTGGAACGCAAGCTTATGCTGAGTCTAGTTATTTCTTTACATCCAAAAACAGTCAGACCGAAGATTCTTGGCAGCAGGCTAAACAAGCATTGGTAAAAAATGTGCAAATGACTTGCATGGATTATACGATTGATGTCATTCAAGAAGCACAAAATCAAACTTGGTGAGAGAAACCATGAATAATTTTTTTCAAAACAATTTTATATTATCTTAATTTACTGTTTCTTATATTTGTTTAAACACATTTTATTTAAAATGCTGCATTACGGTTGCAGCAACAATGTTAACAAAATAGCTGTGGACAAGCTGCAGTCAATTGAACATGCATCAGAACAATTTGAAAAACTTGTATGCGGTGACAAAATTGCGCTGTATAGTATGAATGAATACTTGCATAAACTCAAATCTCACTTGGAGACAGCAAGACAGGCAGTGCTAGTCAAAAGCGGGTATGTGACAAGTAAAAATATCACAAAAAGTTACTCATATTGGAGTTTTTCATTGTTTGGGTTTCGATCTGTATAAATACTTACTTGTAGAAATTCATTGTTTTCAAAATATTCGTCGGTTCAAGGTTGTTTATTTTACCTGCTGTCTAATATGATAACACCGGCATATACATCCATGCCATCATAATGTAATAAAAGTCTGTCTGTACATTTTGTTTTGTTTTGTTGTTTTGTGCCCAAAAGCTACCTTTACCATGTACACATACATAAACTGAATTTCCGAACTTTGCATAATACAAAGCGATCTAGCATTTTTTAACTTTCCCACGGTTGTTTGTATTTCAAGTTTTTTAATTGTCCTGGACAAAATGACCTCGGAACATTTTGGTGTTTCGAAAGCAAAGGCATTTTGCAAGCTTAGATGCCTACCGTATATATCAGGCTTGTCTATGTGGATGAAATTCCTATGGGAACGTCCCATGGGACAACACACATTTGTATTTCCCATAGGACAAGTGGGACACGAAAACCGTATGATTTTGGAGAAAATGATGGTAAAACAATTTGTTATGGACTTCGATTCCATATATTTGAGCATAACTCTCTTAATAGTTATAAAGAGCAAAATGTATTTAGCATTAACAAAATACTTCGTGAAGGGGCTGATGGACACATTTATAATAGTTATGAATATAAAGTTAACGGAGTCCGTAAATATTGTTGTTTTGCATGTCTCTTTGTAAATGTAGTACTATTTAGTAGACGCTAAACCCAGATTTAACCTAAGTTTTATTAAATTTTATTCCAATGGGAATCTCATGGAATGGGAATTGGACAGGTTAATATGTCCCATGAACAAGCCAGCTAATTATATATATATATATATATATATATATATATATATATTCGGGTTTCATGCATGATTCATCCAAAAATTGTGATGTTTTGAAATATAACCACTATGTCTGAAATCTGAGTATGACACATTATCATTCCTTATTTTTATACAACATGAATTAAAATTTGTCGGCATATATTATCTCCAAAACAAATATTTGTTTATCTAGAGACAACTTTTCTCAACTTGCTGCAATCTCTTCAGCATTGAAAAATGAGTGTCCTGGTACCGGCGGAGTATCGGGCTTAAGAGAAAAGCACAACATCTACGATGAATTAAACGATTTACGGCAGGTGAGTAACATAATACATATTCTACATAAAGCAATTGCAGGTCATGAGCACTCACTCAGAAATATGGGAGATTGATCTATGAGAGAAGTAATACAGTAATATTAACAATAAAGACAATATTTGACAAAGCATATTCTACTCATAGCAATAAGCACGGCGTAAATAGTAGGCTTTGGTCATTTTAAACCCATCCTAAACGCTGAAAAACATAAACAATATATGAACAATAGGTGCCGTGGGATATATGGTCAAGGGAGTATAAAATCACATTATTTTCAATATTTGTCGGATAACGGCTTGTTTTTAGGCGACTGGTTAATGTTAAGATTGTTTGGGTATTTTTTTTTCATTTCTGGTAATATAAATAAGAGGCAAAATTTTGTGCACCAAGTTTTCAAAACCGGATGCATGACACTTTCGCTTGAGTTCTTAATTTAAAAGTTTTCTACTCTGCTTATGCCCATGTACACTGTACAAGCTATATTGGTATGTTGCGGCAATGGCGTTACTGACGAGAATGGTGGAACAGTGACGAACAGTAGTATATATTTACGGACGAACAGTTATGTAAAACATAGACTATAAAGAATTGTAGTATGTATGTATAAATGTCTAGGGATTTTGAAATTTATTCTATATTAAAAAAAATATCCCGAAGTAAGGCGATCTTAACCAACTATAGTAACTCTCTGCAACTCTGAACCATCTATACCGCTGCATAAACAACGGAAGACTCATGCCGACATTCCATTTTAATACCATAGGAACTATGAAACTACTCCCTGGACATTGACAGAACTACTAAACCTCAAATAAAGACGATTTCAACGCCTTATTATATTAAAAATACTTAATCAAACTTCGCCAATCTGCCCAACAACGAAGACATTCTTTGACCAAAAACAACAAATAATGCTGTGGTAACATAATGGCTCGTACTGTTAAAAATGGTTTATTTATGCCACTATATTTTTTTGCCGCGACGAACTGATTTGAAATAACTAAGGTATATATAGTGTTTATAACTTGCATAATGATGATACAACCATAGGTAAACTCCAGTCAAAGTTTACCAATTTGAAACATATGGACCAGACGAAAATTTGCGTGAAAACGCCTATTCAAAAGAAAACTCAAATGCAATTTATGCCACCTAAGAAATAACCATATAATACAGTATAATAATGTTACGTTGTATAGTGAGGAACAATGAACCTAATGAAGAAAATGTAAATCAAGGTATTTATTCAATTTGAATTTCTCTAAATTTCAGGTATTCATCGATGCAAAAGCCCGTCTTCGTAAAACATCGCTAACCAAAGGGTACACAAAATTCGTTATTGCACTTACATTTCTTACTTTAGATTTTGACTATTGTAATAAAATAAACATTTGAGTTGCTTCTCGACTTGTCACAAAACAAAAATACGGGTTGAGGGCGACTCAATCCAGAAAAATCTGTTTACTCAAGTCCGTCTACTCTATACGGTTGAGTGTGCAGGAATTTTTTTGGGAGGGAGGTGTCATTAAATTGTTATATGACAAGATAATGTAATCTTTGTACTTCTATTTTCACAAAAATGGGCTGTCCAGTCTTATCGGCCTCTCATAAAATCCAGTCGTATAAGGACATAAATAGATGTTACATTTATGCAAAATACGCAGTTGTATAGTCATAGGTTCAAATACATTTGGTAATACCTCGTATTCAAAATCAAGTAAAAACCTCAGGGTTGTATTACGATTTCATGGTATCACTAGAGGAAGTGACTTTATAGTACTCGTTTCTAGTCGCAAGGAGAGTGCACTAATATATATTTTATTTTCATAATTTTCTTCTTATAACACCTCTCATTTTAAGAATTTTCAATAATTCATTAATATTAAAATTAGTTCAGAAACCTGCACCTTGCATCAATCTATCACCAAGCTATCTGACCTCTTTATTTAGGATATATATCATACTTTTGGTGTATTTTATTGTCCGTTCAGTTGCACTGATGACTGTGAAAATAAGAGTTAGATTATTTCTTCTCTGTCAGCCTGTTTCTTTGACGCGTGGGTGTATTAATTCTTTTTATTATTATTCATGATCTACGAAATATTCCATAGGACCCAAAACTATGCACGTATGGCGGAAGTTCTCAATGCAATTTACGGAGAACGCGATGGGGCAATACAGATGGAATTATTAGAGGTATGTATGTAATGATTTTTTATGGCAATTTTGTGAGTTTATTTATATGTAATACTTCATTTTGTTTATTTTGCAGAATGATAACGTACCAACGTGGTAGGTAAATATTTCGTTGAACTATTACTAACTTTAGTTATTTAGGTTTGTATAGGTTTTTAAAGCAATTGATCGGTTCAAATCTATTTCCTAAAGTTTCCTTTTTATTCTGATTATATAACTCTTCATGAAACATTCAATGAAATCTCCCTACAATGTGAAGATATATATCGCTGTAAACGCCACGTCTGCAAATTTCACTGTATAGCTTATATTATATTTTGTCAGTTACTGCATAGGAAACTCATCAAGTTGTTTATTTTTCTTTTTTGCTTTTTGCGATAAACATCACAAATGTAGGAATTTTCCAATCAATTTTGTTATTCCAAAACTTATTCCGAAGACTTCAGTAGAATATCGCTACAATTTCAAATTAAATCTCAATTGGTCTTATATTGTAACCACGATGTTGTGTTTCCTATCCACCAAATATTACCCACAATATGTTTAAAAACGCAGGATATTTGAAAACATTCATTTTGTACTTGCTGAGTCTTATGCAAATAAGACTGAATTGGAAAGCAAAATTCATAACTTGGGTGGAACTTCAGGTATAGTTATGAACATAGTTTTATACTTCTATATCATGCCAATAGATCATTCACAGCCATCAGTGTGTCATGTATTCAGCACCTATATAGACACAAAATCTAACTGACGTCCACAAAACCGTCACGTAAAAGAAGGTGCAAGTTTTATGTGGTTGCAAAATGTTATCTAGTAATGCGTATCTCTCGTCAGACTCTCGAGAGACACTTTTTTATTGATCATAAACGTTATCACGATTGCATATATAAAGTCTCTTTTTTGACCGACATATAACGATCTTAATATTGAAATAGTGTTTTTTTTAATGCAGAACAACTATTGTAAAGTAAATTCCATTTTACATTTTGAAATGTTTTCATGAATCTTCCAAAATAACCTATTCTATGTTGAGCAGTGTTTAAACTATTGTTCAAGACTATTTAAGTAGTTATGTGTTCAAAACAATATTTTTGTGCCGAATAAAAAGAAAACCATTCTTTTTTTTTTTTTTATCTTGAAGCGAATTCACTAAAAAGCAGCAGAGGACGAAGAGTATACGTGATTTGCGCAAAAGACGGTCCTCGCAACAGACACATACTTGAGGAAGCCCAACAAAAAGGAGTAATAAATAGGAATTTGTGTATAATTTATTCATAAATCAGTTAAATCTCCAATTCACAATGTAATAGGCTGTAGCAATTTTTGCTTTGGTATAGAGCCACCGACAATCAAATTGGCGAAAAATGTACGTTATTGCCACTTTATAAATTTCAATTTTTGAATGGGCCTGCAGTAGCAATAGATTTACAATTTCAGTTCTAAGAAAAGAAGTAAACTTGCGATGACCCCATTATTCATTTGTATACTGACCATTCCATCATTTTATGTTTAGCTAAGTCTAATCCACTAAACAATAAATGTATATCTCTAATTTATTTTATTGTTTTTCAGTTTCCTATTGTACATGAAAACTACATCGAAGAATGTGAAAGACAAAGGGAGCTTGTTGCATGGTTTAAATTTGGAATGAAATCGTTATGATTTTGTAGTCAAGAAATGTCAGCTAGAACGTTTGATTCAGTTAAATTCTCAGTGTTTATGAGTAAATAATCATCTATGTAGCATAATTTAATTGACCATTTTTTAATGAGTACACTTACTTGTCAGTCATGATCTATTTTGTTCCAAACTCAAGCTAGTGACAAGTTTCGTACTAAAACTTTATTTGGGAAACCGTAGCTCAGTATCAAACATCCATTGTTTGTTCTGTTGTTTTCTAAAAATTGGCACTATTGTTTAACATTATATGTTCAACTATTTGAGAGGCTATAAATTAGAAGTTGTAAAATTTGAGATAGCTCGTCATAAAAAATATAACACTCGAATCAAAAATATCCTAATTTATTGTTGCGTGTGGATTTGGCAATATGTACCATTTTTTCTTTGTTCTCTATTAAGTGCTATTTATTGCATCTATGGGAAAGGTGTGGATTTTACAATTGCTAGATACCAGATTATTTTTTAAAGAATGTTTTATATTCAAATAATTACATACGATAATACATTTACAATGATTGAATGCAGTTTGGATTTTACGTAAAACATATTAATATAAATATATTGATTTGTCGGGCTTTGTCAGCCAGCATCACAAATTATGCTGCGTAAAATCACTCACGGCAGGTAACCTCCGATTGTATAAAACACATCAGCCGCGTTAAAAATATTAAAAATGTTAATCCTTGTATTCTTATAGCTTTAATTTATTGTCAGTCTTTTGAGTACATATTACCAACTGGAGACTTAGTAAAAGTTAAAGCTGTTTCCATCAACTAACATCCATCTGTTTATTTGATGAATTTTTGTTCTCTTATACACATTTAACGTTAGAAAGTTGAATTGTGAGTTACGAACTTACTAGGTCTTTTAATACTAAGATATTTTGCTTTAATTGCCTTCTTGATTGTTAAAAACAGGCGTGCGGAGAAGTGCCAATTTTGAATGGTGTGCGGCCCGCGATACGAATTTCCAATTTAATTTAATTTGGTACGTGCGAGCAATTCCAATCCCTTTGCGTTGCGAAACTCCTACCGGAGTCCAATTTATTACTTACGGCAATGTGAAAGAAACCAAGGCAGCAGCTAAGGCCAATAAAGAAAGAGCAAAGAAGTGACTTGAAGCATCTGGCGCCAATCAACAGCCTAAACCTTATGTTTACTTATGCCTATGACTTTACAATGCCTTAACAGCTAACTTGTGTGAACTAACCAACAATTTTGTGCCTGCGACTACTAGATAGCCTATGTTAAATAAAAGTGCGGCTTGTGGTCTCACCTAGTTATCTCTATCTATCACTTACATATTAAAGGTTGTACACACCTGGTTTAAAACATGTGAAAAATATTCGCCTTATTTGTTTTGTAACATTCAATGATATGCCGGATATGTCATGTGCAGACAGACGGTCATCAATGGAGTTGAGCACCAAGATACTTGACCATACTGCGTTAGTATTAGAACATCCGTTGTGGGAAAAGATCATATTGAAGCTCATGCAGTAGCGCAATGATATAAAATAAGAGCGTAACATTAAACAAAGCAACGGCCAACAATAGATTTTCATAGAATACTTCAATTCCTTATCAGTTGAAATATGGCAGAGATTGATTCAGCAGTTGACAAAAACGATTTCGGTCATGAAAACAAAAACAATTCAACAAAACGATCCATAGGATTCACTTCGGTTTCAGTAAACTGGCTTAATTAAGTCAACGTTATTACTGAACAAATTGATATGCCTGTTTACGGAAGCTATTCTTTGTGTGCTGTCGTGAATTTAAGTCACATTTATGATTTTAAATATTCATAATTGTGGGATTTCAACTTCTATTAACAATAAGTATATATGAGCGTCCAAAAATACAAATAGTGTTATTATACTAACTAAGTGTAACCAAGTCAACTTTCAGCTTCGAAATATTTTAAAATTATGCACGAAATATAGTGCAGAAAATTTCATGTTATTACTTTTAAATTAAGGACAGCTAACTTTGTTTTTAGAGGTATGTTGTAGAGTGTAGACATTCTTACATGAATTGAAACAGCTTTTTTGTCCAAAATTGCAGTATTTTGGAATTTTATGTAGTAAATACTGAATACCTAAATATAATTTAAATTTAAAATGGTTTGAAATCTGTACCAGTTGAACAATTTTCCCCGGTATTAGGGCTGGGAATTTCAGGTAAAACTCTTTAACCGAACGTTAACGTGACGTTTGACATAATAAGTTTGACGTATATTTTACGCTCGTTACGTCACAATGGTTCCAAAGCAATTTCACGTGTAGTTTCATAGTCACTCTACTGCGAGCGATATGCATCAAACTTCCTGCCTACTTCTCAAAAATGTCAATATGCTAATGGTTCCATTACATTTGAACCCACGTACATTTGAACCCATGACAATTGCACCTGTATGCTATTGCACCTATGGATTTTTTTTTGTTTCACGGATAGTTAAACCCATACTAACCCTAACCCATGGGTTTTAGCACCCGCATATAGATTGAACCCGTGGATATACGCATGGGTTCAAATGTACATGGGTTCAAATGTACGGTCACCTATGCTAATAGTTCCTGTGACAGAATGCGCACTTGTTGAATGACATTGAATCTTGCAATAAAATCGTAAATAATATATTTTGACTCAAAACTGATTCTGAACTTATCATTGTCAAATTTTCATAATCGGCCATATATACATATTAGCACTTTAATTATTTTTTCACATTTCTTGATGCTTACCAATAAAATTAGTGATATTCTTCTGAATTTAACGCTGTGGAGATAAATTTGCGATGAAGTAATAATTTTCTTAAATTGTACAGTATAAAGGTGATATGTACCGGATTTGTCAGTTATACGATATTTTTACTTTTTCTGATTGTTCCATATTTGTCCAGATTGTTTCACACTCGTCCTGATTGATTGCTATGCATGTCTCACATTACATGTGTCTAGCTTTTACCACGCATATGGTGCTTGTCCAACTAAAAGTCCCAAACTTTTCACGCTTGTTTCGAAATAGTTCTGCTTGTCTGACACTTGTCCTGAAGGTTCCACAATTTTTATGCTTTCCCCACATGTGTTCTAATAGTCCCAAGCTTGTCTCAAACTTGCGCGTTTGTCCCACACTTATTCTGCCTGTCTCACACTAGTTTGTGCCCTTTGAATATTTCAATCTAATTAAATATTTTTTTGTCAGCAATTACAGGAATTTTGAAAGCCTTCAATTACGCTATATTATGTTCCTTACATATTTAATTTAGAACAAATACTTTTTAAGGGCACCCCGATATTCTGATTGTTTCACACTTGTCCTGCTTCTATCCCAGCCGTCCTGCTTATTCCACATTTTCACTTGTCATCGAAAGCGCATTTGTCATCTAAGACCGTCCCTGTCCCAAACTTGTCCTGCCTCTATCCCAGTTGTCCTGCTTGTTCCACATTTTCTCTTTTTATGTAACACCTGCCATGTTTAGTTCACCATTGTCCCGTTTTTTTCAACACTTCTGCGGATAGTCCACCTCTTGTAATGCTTGTCCCACGCTTGTCCTGCTTGGTTCACATTTGCCCGATTTTTCTCACGCACGTCCTGATTAAAACAAACTTGCCTTGATTGTCTCACACTTGTCCTGTTTGCATAACACTGGTACTGTTTGTCCGATAATTGTTTTGCTTTTTCCTCACTTGTCCTGCTATTCACGATATTTGTCAGGCTTGACTGACTAATGTACTGATTGAATCCAATTTTTCTTAGATCTCACAATTGCTCTGCTTGTCGCTCGCCTTCATTGTTCTTGAAACTGAGCGAAAATATCACAAAGATGTTTTACTTATCTATTATTTCCACTTAAAACGATATTTTTGATAATTTTCTTCTTAAATAACGTTGTTTACAAAGTTACGCTTGAGCGGTTTCTACTTTTTGAAAGCTACTCCATTAAGTATACACAGCCTAATAGAAAGCGAATTTCACATCTACGTCAAGACGGTGTTGATCTCGTTTGATCTCAGAAGTTAAGCATCGTCGAGCTAAGTTAGAACTTTCATGGGAGTCCAGCTGGGATCGTGGTTGTCCTAGGCTTTTTTTATTTGCATAGCATAATAATTTGTGCTGTTTGATTATTTAAATCCAATTATTTATCTTTTGGTCAACAATTACAAGTACTTTACAAAAAAGCATAAATTGGATTATAAAATATCTGAATCTAGATCAGAATATGGTACCCAACTGATTTAGTATTAAAGAAATACTTTTAACGGCTCCCCCATTCTCTGCTTCGGTTGCAGGTCCTACACACATCCTTCTTGTATCACAGTTGTACTCTCTATCTCAAATTTGTTCTGCTTATCTAACACTATCTAATATTATATATTTAGGAAGCAGCTTTGTAAAGTTGAAACCTACCAAGCGTAACCTTGTAAACAAAGTTAATTCAGAATAAATTCTCAAAATATAACACAAGTGGAAATAATAGATAAGTAAAACAACTTTGTGATATTTTTGCTCAGTTTCAAGAACAATTAAGGCGAGCGACAAGCAGAGCAATTGTGAGAAGCACAAACAAGAAATGGGTGAGGCAAGCCTGACAAGTGCGAGACAAGCATAATAAGTGTGGGGCAAGCGGGAAGTTTTAGACAAGCATTAGAGATGTGATACTATCAAGACAAAATATAAAAAGCAGAACAAGTGTGGGACAATGTGGACAAGTTTGACGCAAACATTACAAGTGGTGGACTATGCGAATAAAAAGTGTTAGATAAGCAGAACAAATTTGGGACAAGGATGAGGATGAGTATGGGACATGCAAGACAAGCAGAATATAGGGGAGCCGTTAAAAGTATTTCTTCAATAAAAATCAGTAAGGTACCATATTATTCTAATCTAATTTATGCTTTTGTGTAAAGTTCTTGTAATTGTTGACCAAAAAATATTTAATTGAATTTAAGTAATCAGACGGCACAAATTATTATTATGCTACTCAAAAAATAAAAGCTTAAGTCAACCAGGATCCCAGCTGGTCTCCCATGAAAGTTCTAACTTATCTCGACGTTGCTTAACTTTTTAGATCAGACGAGATCAACGCCGCAGATGTGAAATTCGCTTTCTATTAGGCTGTGTATATATTTTTTTTTTTTGCCAAATTAAATTACAGAGCCAATATGGAATTTTTTAATTCTATTTTTTAAGCCAATTGAAGTGTCAGTTTTTGTTTTATACAGTTTTTTTTTTGGAAAACAATTGCATGTATTGAGTTCCAATTAGTATTATTAGTTGAAGAAAAACGAAAACAGTTGTATAAACAATTAATTATACATATGACATCAAATGTTGATAATCCAATATTCGTCATATATCTATTTCTATTGAACATTGTCCACATTCTATTAGAAGCTTAGAATTATAATGTACATATAAAATTATTTATTTCATATTAGCATGAAAAAAAAAGAGATTTCAAAAAATTAGACAGAAAATTCGAAAACGTACCATGCCACTAGAATTTTCT